ACATATTAGTTTGTCGAAGTGTTCTACTCTGTCAAAAATTAATTTAGCTAGAGGGGTACCGAAGCTAAAAGATAAAGCAGAGTTCTTCTGTGACGCGTGTGCTGTTGGAAAACACAAGAGAAAGAGTTTTAAACCAAAACCTAATATCACAACCACTAAAACTTTCGAATTAATTCACATGGACTTGTTTGGACCGTGTAATGTAGCTAGCTTAGGACGTAAAAACTATGTATTTTTCCTAATTGACGACTTCTCTAGGTATACCTGGGTGTTTTTCTTAGCTCACAAGGATGAAACCTTTGAAAAATTTCATTCATTTGTCACAATGCATAAACAATCCTTAGAAGACATTCGAAGTGACAATGGGGGTGAATTAATTTCAGATGAATTTGCTGACTTTTGTGACAAGTCAGGAATACTCCATACTTTTTCTGCTCCTCGCTCACCTCAACAGAATGGGGTTGTTGAGCGTAAAAATAGAACTCTGATAGAATGTGCTAGAACTATGCTTTTAGATTATAATCTACCTAAGTTCTTTTGGGCTGAATCAGTAAACACTGCATGCTATGTTATAAAGCGTGTTCTGATTAGAAAAATTGAACAAAACTCCTTATGAAATACTAAAAGGTAGAACTCCTAAGATATCTTACTTTCATCCCTTTGGATGTCCTTGTTACACGCTGAACACTCAAGATTCTCTCTGCAAGTTTGATGCCAAATCCGATCCTACTGCTTTTCTTGGTTACTCAACTAAAGGTCAAGCTTATAGGGTTTATAATAAACGAACCAGAAAAGTAGAAGAGTCAGTTCATGTCTTATTCAATGAAACAGTATCGGTTGTATCAGATAATTCTATGACTTTTGACTTAAGTGAACTCACATCATCTGGTCAAGAATCTTATAGTGGGCAGGTTACCCCAGACAAATCTCAGACGCTAGAACCTCAAGCACAAACTTCTGAAGATACTGAATCTGCAGCTGGTGTACCAAAAGCCCCTCCCCATATTCAGAAGAGACATCCTAAAAGTCAAGTCATTGGTAAAATTAGTGATGGTCTGCAAACTAGAGGTAAGTACACCCCTGGCCAGTATGATTTTGTATCTCAATTTGAACCAAAAAACTGGAAAGAAGCTATACAAGATGAAGAATGGGGTCTGTCTATGGTAGAAGAATTAAACCAATTTGAACACCTGCACGTTTGGGACTTGGTTCCAAGACCTGAACATGTTACTGTAATTGGTACTAAATGGATCTATCGAAATAAATCTGATGAGGATAATGTTGTCATTAGAAATAAATCTAGATTAGTTGCTCAGGGCTACCTTCAAGAGGAAGGTGTTGACTTTGATGAAACCTTTGCCCCAGTGGCTAGGCTTGAATCCATTAGGTTACTATGTGCTTTTGCTAGCTTTATGGGATTTCCCCTGTATCAAATGGATGTGAAAAGCGCATTCCTAAATGGTTTGATACATGAGGAAGTCTATGTAGCTCAACCTCCTGGATTCATTGATTTTGAACATCCTGACTATGTTTATAAGCTAAACAAAGCATTTGTATGGTCTCAAACAGGCTCCTAGAGCCTGGTTTGAACGTCTCTCTTCCTTTCTTATTGAAAAATCTTTTGTTCAAGGAAGTATAGATAAGACTCTATTCATAAAGCATGTGTCTGATCATATTCTTATTGTTCAAGTCTACATAGATGACATAGTTTTTGGATCTAGTGACCCTAAACTATGCACTGAATTTTGTGAAACCATGCAGTCAGTTTTCGAAATGAGCATGATGGGAGAGTTAAAGTTTTTCCTTGGACTGCAAGTTAAACAAAGCCCATCTGGAATCTTTATTAACCAATCGAAATACCTTCAGAAAATGCTTCTAAAATTCAACATGAACACGATTAATTCTAGTCCTACTCCCATGGCAACCAATCTCAAACTTGACAAAGACACTTCTGGGAAATTAGTTGATGAAAAGAAATATCGTGGAATGATAGGGTCTTTACTATATTTAACTGCTAGTAGACCAGACATCCAACATAGTGTGTGTCTTTGTGCTAGGTTTCAATCTGCCCCCAAAGAAAGCCATCTTAGTGCTGTAAAACGAATTTTTCGTTATCTAAAAGGAACCCCTGAGGTAGGATTGTGGTATCCACATCATGACAGCTTCAATTTACTAGGATATAGCGACTCTGACTTTGCTGGTAGTCTATCAGATAGGAAAAGTACCACTGGGACTTGCCAATTTGTAGGAACTTCATTAGTCTATTGGTCCTGTAAAAAACAAGGGGCAGTTGCCCTTTCTACTACTGAAGCCGAGTACATTGCAGCAGGGAGCTGCGTACTCAGCTCATCTGGCTTAAAAATCAACTTCTAGACTATAAAATCAATACCTCGACTATCCCATAATTTGTGACAACACTAGTGCTATATGTATGTCCAAAAATCCTGTGCAGCACTCCAGAACTAAACACATAGAAGTAAAATGTCATTTTATTAGGGAATTAGTCGAGCAGCATTTAATTCAATTAAACCAAATCCCAACTGAGTTCCAACTGGCCGATCTGTTTACTAAGCCATTAAATGCAGATCGATTCACTTTCCTTTGCTATGAACTAGGGCTTCGATCTCCAGAGAATCTGGAGAATTTGATCTGATTGTCTGATCTTCTCTCTTTACTTTTCTGTTTTTGCTTTCCTTTCATATTTCTTCCTTTTTATGTGTTTTCCTTATCTTCGTGTGTTTGTTTGGTATTTATTGGTCTGTGTGTTCTTTCTCTGGTCACTCATCCTTTGTTTGAGTCTTAGCTGTCTGTTCTAGTCTTTTCAATGGTGTTCGAGTTCTCCATCACCTACACAGGTACCCTGTTCCATGACCCTATCCCTGCTAATGCCCATAGACATGATGTCTCTTATGCTCGTCGCCCTATCATTCCCACCTATCAGATTCCTCATGCTGGCTTAGTTGAGTATGGTCTTGACTTCACTCAACTCATTCATAATCTGGGTTGGGATTTTCTTATTGATGAAACCCTTGAGCATATTTGTCCTGAGGGGGTTCGCCTGTTTTACTCAAACTTTCGTTCTTTTGGCCTTGACACTCGTACTTTTACTACCCTGATTTATGGCCATCTTGTTACTATCCCCATTGAGGATCTTAGGCGTCTGCTTGCTATTCCCTAAGTCGGTGAAATTTTGGCTCATGAGTCTGAGCTTATGCTGTTCAATTTCAATATTGAGCATGAGTTTGTGCATATGACTGGACATACTCCTGATGCTCTGCTCACTCTTTCCACCACTTTCCTGCTCCATGCTATCCGAACCTTCCATTTTTTTCCTCACTCATCGCTTCCTTCCTAGGACTGTCCTCCTAGATCGAGTCACCCCTCTGGATCTCTGGGTCATTCAGCATGATGTGACCAATGTCCCTCTCGACTACTCTCATCTGCTATTTTGACATCTATACATGTTCCAGTATTTTGAATACCATGGTCATCTTCCCTTTGGTCCTCTGATTACTCGTCTTGAGATTTCTCTTGACCCTTTCCGCACCACCACTCCCACCGTTTTTATTACTGCTGATGATGTCTTGGACGAGATTGCCATTGCCGTTGAGGGGGAGGATGATTCAGACTCAGACTTCGAAGAACCAGAGGAGGAACCTGCTGAAGAAGAAGTCGATTCTGGATCTAAGGAAGAAGAACCAAATCCGGATATAGAAGTACATTGGATTAGCAGTAGCAGTGACAGTGATGATGACTCTGATCCTGGCTCCCCTCCGTTAAGTGATGTGCTAGCTGCTCTTCAGGATACTTATGGATCCGATTAACTCTTCCAGTTGATGTTGATGTTTATTTCGATCCTTTGGTTTACTGGACGTGTCTTTTCCCAACTTCTATTATGACTCATTGGATGTGTTTTTTCAGTTTTTCAGTCTGAGTGTGCACTCTTGTCTGTTGAATGCTTGCTGGATATTTTCAAACTTGCTGAATGTGTGATGTGGTAGAATGAGTTTTTCATAGAAAGTTATAATCTGCTGCTGAAAGTTCTTAAAATTAGAACTGGTTAGATGTTGTGTGTGCTTGGAAAGGTGGTTCCTGTTTTGCAGGGTTCAAGCGGACAATCGGCAATCTCCAACTTAGGGGGAGATTGTTGAGATGGTAAAGATCAATTAGGAGACTGACAGATCATGAATCAAGGGGGAGCAGATCAATCAATCAAAGATCTCAATTGCCTGCTGCTCAACTAACCCATTATGCTCCAATTTCAAATACCAACGGCTCCTTGAAGACTTATTTAAAGAAGCAGCAGGGCAAGAGCTCGTTACTGAAGCAAACATGGATTTATTTTTGGCAAAGGGCAAAGGGTTGGGTTTGGGAATCAGTGGCTTTGATCTAAGCTGAGGTATAGGTTCAGCTTGTTCAAAGGGTGTATCGAATTCCTGCAAGAATTCGGGTCTAGAACAGTGGCATTTTGATTTTCTCACCAGAGTCTGTAGTTCGATTGTTTTGTTCTTGCTGCTTGCGTCCTAAAAGAAAATCAAAGTGTCTCTCAGGATAGTGGTACTATCCTGGGACGAGGAGTAACCCTGTGGTGAACCTCGTTAAATCGACTGTGTTCTTTAAGCTTCTGCAATTTTCTACCTTTTGTCTTCCTCCCCTGTTCTGATTCTCCCTGACTCGAGAAGTGTTGGCTCTGTAAAGAATATGATTTGTTTCGTACCTTCTTCAAAGAGTTTGGGCCTGAACAAGTCTTGTGTCCGGATCTGTCTTTGAGGATCTGTGGGCTTGTTCTTGTAAGGCCCACTCGAGTGATAATTGGGAGATCAGTATCTGATCAGATCAGTTGCATCGGGTTAACTCCTTTGTTGACCTTTCAGTCAAAATCCCTAATTGTCCATCTCCTATTCATTTCCTTTCACTCGACATTTTCTCTTCTACACTCTCACTGTCACTCCACAATTCGTAAGCTCCTCCTCCACTAGACCAACTTTTCCAGATCGAAAATGGCTCGTCAAATTACCCTTTTGGGGAAAGTGGAAGGATTTCTGTTGAAGAGGCCTTTTCCCCCCTTCTTTGGGGCATTTTGTCAGACAGGTAGGGTGCAAAGTTCAATACACTCCAAGAGAACAGGAACACTTGGGAAATGGTTCCATTACCACGACAGGGAGACGATTAGCAGCGGTGGATTAAGCAGCATCAGTAGCAGTGCAGCGGTGAAGAAGAAAGACAGGGCAAGAATGGAGAGCGCGAGGATACACTCTGCTGTAGTGGCGGCCGGTCTGGCGGCAGGGTTGGCCGCCGAGGCTGCAGCTGGAAATTCCGGTGGAGGAGGCTCATTAATGAGCGTGGCTTTAGCTTCTGCGACGGAACTCATTGCCTCGTACTGCATAGAGCTAGCTGAGTTGGCCAGAGCCGATCACGAGCGAGTCGGCTCGGTGGTGAGATCGGCCGTCGATATTCGGAGCCCTGGTGATCTTGTTACGCTCACTGCTGCAGCTTCCACAGGTACTAACCACGAGCACTTCTACTATACTATAAAGCATGAGAAATTTTACAATGCTATATAGTATTGGTGCCATAGGTTTTTTCTTTTATGGTAAACTTAAAATTGTACATTTACGTTATAGTACAACTTTAGATTGTACTTATACTTTTTATACAAATTCTTTTATGATACAACTTGAAATTGTACTTTTATGTGATGGTACAAGTTCAAGTTGTAAAGTTATATCATAACATAATGGTACAAATTGCTTTATGGTACAACCTAAACTTATACATTCAATATTTATGGTACAACTTTTAGTTGTACATTAAAGCACCAATGCTATATAGCATAGTAAAAGTGCTCATAAAGCATTGGTGCTTTAATGTAGAACTTGAAGTTGTATCATAACGTTATGTATAAGTTCATGTTGTACCATAAAAGAATTTGTACCCTTATTTTATGGTACAACTTTACAACTTAAAGTTGTACCGTCACATAAAGGTACAAGTTTAAGTTGTACCATAAAAGAATTTGTACAAAAAAACATAGGTACAACTTCAAGTTGTACCATAAAGACAAAAACCTATAGCATCAATGCTATATAACATTGTAAAACTCCTCACTAACCACATCCTCGGTTCCTCTGTACGATGGCTATTTACATAATTTCCCGCCGGGATTACTAACAAATTTATCAATGAAAGTTTTATCTTTGGCAAAATATACATGTGTAGCCAAAACTTTGATGGTTTGGTCAAATATAGTCACTTTTGCGGAAATACAAAAAATAGTCACTTTCGTCCAATTCTTTAACGGTGTTATTTAACGTACTGACTGGACTAACAGAAGGGCTGACGTGGCAACATTAGTTAACAGCATTGCCACGTAGATTTAATTGAAAAAAATGAAAAAAATAATTAAAAGAAGAGTCGACCATTACTGGAAAAAGCCTTGAACTTGGATTGACTTAACTGCTATTCTTGATTCATCTGTTGCCCCATTAGTGGATTTGATAGTTTTCATTTCATGTTATTCATAGTAATTTGTCGATTTTCTTCCTTCCCTCCTCGCCCTTCCTTCCGCCTCTACCACCTCCTACCGCCTCCGAGGAGATTCCCCATCCCCTCCGGAAGACTCAGCGGCGACCGATGGTTTTTCGGAACGAGAATCAGAATTAATTGAAGAGGAGGAAGGTTAGTGGGAGTTATTTCGTTTCCCCTCAAACTGGAAACTCGTCGCGCGAAAAATCGGTGTTCCCCCACCGCACTCTGTTTATTGTTTGCTTACGCCGCCGCTGCGTTTATGCCCTGATTTAGATATGTAGCCAAACCTATCTTCTCTCCCACAGCGGACCAGATATCACACCTGCAGGAGGGAGGTCGAGCAATTGTCAGATTGTAGAATGGCATGTCCCATCATCGAGAAAAAAGTGAAGAATGGAAGGGCTTGGGGCAAGGGATAAATGGTTGTGGTAACAGGAGCGACGACGGCCAGGTCGAGGAGGTAGGCGTTGCTCGCGGACAGCTGTGTCCGAGCTGTCGAGGGGGTGGCGATGGCAGTCACCTGTCCGAGCTGTTGAGGACTTGTCTGATGTGTGCAATGATTTGGCATCCAAGTCAGGTTAATGTTAACTTACCTGACGGAGTTTCTAACACTGTTAAAGTTTGTAATGGAAATGACTATATTTGTAATGAAACTTTCAAAATTATGGCTATTTTTGATATTTCGCCAAAAGTGATTATTATTGTCACAAACACTAAAGTTTTGGCTATACAGATGTATTTTGCTTTTATCTTTTGACAAACTTTAAACAAAATGAAGAATGGGTAATATAACAATCATTTCGTTGAATGTAGGCATCACAAATTATCCTAATAGCCAATCTTTTAATTAATAATAAAAGCGGTAAGCGGTCACTTCAATAATTGATTTTTTCTGTCGTTAAGAATTAACATTTGATAACCGATTTGTGAGTGATCTCAAAGTCTAGTGAGATTTCGTCGATTTTTCGTTCAACTTCTTGAATTTTTATATAACATTGTAGCTGTTCTTATAGTTTTAAGAGGAGAAGCAACTCTGAAATCGAGATTGCCAAAGGAAGCAACAAAAAATGCAGCTAATAGTCCTTACGATCGGGCAATGTCGGATGTTGATTCCACCTCAAGCTTGGTTTCACAGTCCCAAGACAAGCATCAACTGACTCCAGCATGCGATGGAGATCTTTTGCAGCAAACTACAAAAGGTTTGTCTCATTTTCTTCTATGCCTTATATGAGAATGTTCATAGACAGAAGAGTCCTCAACTAATCCTGGTGTCATCTGGATAACCATTTACCCAATTTCTAGGAGCACTGAGATGGAAAAAGGTCTATGTTCACATCAACAAAAAAAGGTCTCCAGCCACACCAACTTTCTTCGGTTGGTTCAATAGCTAGGGGACTCACTTCAATAGCTAGCCAGGAAAAAAACCTTTTTTTCTTCCATGGAACCACCAAGAACACCAGCTACCAGTACCTTTCTCCTACAGACATATCAAACAAAAATCTTCACTGCTTCCAGTAATGGAGCCTTCACCAACATGGCCGACATGGCCGACAACCAGATCAAACTGTATCGAGGCAAGAACAGAAGAGAGAGAGAAAGGGAAGGGGCTAGGGCTACGCACGCAAGGCAGAGGGATGCAGAACATGCAAGCAAATGGATTGGGGGGAATAGATGGCAATCATGGCCATGGGAAACTCCGTCTAGAAAGAAGAAGAGAAGAAAGAAAGGAGAGTTGACTATTAAAGCTCCGAGATCTAGTGCTAATCCTGGCGGCGATATGGGAAAGCGAGAAGATCTAACAGCAGGAGGAGACAATCTGAACATTAATGGGGCGCATCGTTCGAGTGAGCATTCACGACAAGGATTAGAGAGTGGGGGAGTGGAAGACGGGGGAGCAAGAAACACAGACCAGCAGCCAGAAATGGGAGGGGAAGGCATCAGTTGAATCATTACAATCACAGGAGGGGGAACGGTAGTGGAGGCCCTGTGCAGGGAGCATTCAATGAAAGAAAACCTGAGAAGGCAACACTCGGCACTGTGGATGGATGTGCTAGACGGCGACTTCATCTCAGTAGTAAGAGAGGGAAGCTAGGAAGGCAGAATGGGTTTAAAGTCTACATCAAGGGGGTAAGAGGGGAGGTGACTGAGCATTTAATTACCCCAGAGGGAGAGAAGGGCTTGGAAGAGGAGTATTTAAGGAGAAGGAAAGCCCCAGGTGCTTTCACCCATCTGCCCAGAAACAAAACGAAAATCAAACTCATAAACAAAGTGAGAACTCGAGAGAGGAGAGAAGAAAAACTGAGATTGGTAACTCAAGAGGCAGAGCTAGTGAAAATGGAGTTGAATCAGGAAAGAGTGAGAGGGGTTCATAATCATCTCATCATCAATCTTCAGCCTCAGGTCGTTGGGGCTAGGGGATCAGGAATGGCAATGCTGCTCGGAAAATGGATTACTGATTCAAAAGTGGGCCTCTTCAAAGCCAGGAACTCGGTTGCAAGCAAATGGCGAGCATTCGGGGAAGTGGAGACTTCAAAAGAACATGAGAACCTGTTTGTGCACACCTTCGAGAATGCAGCAAAGAGGGACGCGGTTTGGAAAGGAAGACCATGGAATATAGGCAATGCTCTGGTTGCAGTCAAGAAGTGGGATGGAGAAGGGAGCGTGAAGGAGGTGGATTTCTCAACAGTCACCATGTGGGTTCAACTGCATGACCTCCCCCAATCCCTGAAATTTGAAGAAACCATCAAAGCGGTGGCGGAATACATCTTCCCGGTGTTCCATGGAATAGACAGACCAAATATCGAACACAGAGGCTGGAGGAAGTTCATCAGAATCCAAGTGGAAGTCAACATCGATGACCCGATCCCCATCGGATTTGAATATCCATGTGGAGAGCGATCAGCTTGGATTGGATTCAAATATGAAAGGGTAATGGATTTGTGCTATTTCTGTGGGCGATTGGGACATGTTCTGCAAAACTGCTTGTTCAGGGAAGAGAGTAGAAGGAAGGGATTGAGCATTGAGGCTTCGGAGGTGTACACGGCGGCACTGAAAGCTGGGCACGACTCTCCGGCGAATACTCCGCCGATTTCGTTCCGCCGCCGCCATGCAACCCAAGTGGAAAAAAGCCTGAGAAGAGAAAGGGAGCTCGTGTTACGAGGAAGAAGAGAAAAGTCAGCCCAACTGACACTGTCCCCCGCTGACACCAGGATGGAAATCAACTACCCGCCAGGATTCGGATATCTGCAGAGGGAGGCGTCGTCCAGCAACATCAGGGAACAGGAAGGGAGACAAAGGTACGGTGAGGCAGAGAAGGAGTCAGGAAGTACAACTAGAAGGCTGGAGATTGACCTCGAGGCAACCACCGAGGCAATCCAGTCGTCTCTAGTGCTCAATGAAGGAGGACCAAGCTGGAGGGAAAGAGAGGTGGGCCAAAGACCAACTGAGGATAGACAAGGCCTGATGGAAATGGGCCTTCAACTCAGCTTAGCAGTGCCCATGACCGAGAAAGAGAGGGAGGCTCAGGATGAAGAGAAGAAAAAGGAGCCCAGCCCAACAACATCACCAGCAAGGGGAGCCATCGGGACCATTATACAAGAGGCCCAGTATGCAGTCCAGTTAATCAGGGAGGAGCCCCACTCGGTGACCCATGGAAGCCCAATGAAGAAAAGGAAGGCCGACCAAGGCCAGGGAGGAGGAGAACTCTCACCAGAACCCTCGAATTTTTCTAACTTTAGTGTTGATTGTGTTGAATTTAACCCAGGACCAGAAGAGCAGGGGAAGGGAAGGAGAAGACAAGTTTATCGAAGAAGAAGTATAGCGGCAATAACAGCAGCAGAGAAACAATCCGAGGAGGATCATGATCTGAACTCGAGGGCAGCGGCGGCAAGCCTGGAGCCGCCTCCAGAAGCATGAGGCTTCTCAGCTGGAACTGTCGAGGATTTGGCCAGTCCTCAACAAGGAGCTTCTGTAAAAACCTCTGTCGTAGGTTTCGGCCATCAATCTTCTTCCTCATGGAAACAAAACAAGAGGAAGACTTCATGGAGGAGAAGAGGAGAAGATTGAAGTTTTCAAATTAGGAGTATTTTAACCCTAGTCAAGGTGGTAGTGGATTAGCATTATGGTGGGATGAGAATGTATCGATCAGGGTGATTGATAGGTCTAGATTCTATCTGGATGTTTGTATTAGTTGGGGTAGCAATGTATGCTACTGTACTTTTGTTCATGCTCCCACCACAGCGGTGGAGAGAAGAGCATTTTGGGAGAAACTCACCTCCTTGAGGGAGAGGGGGGATGAGGAATGGCTGCTGGTTGGGGACTTTAATGCTGTACTGTCGGATTTTGAGAAGCAGAGGAGATGCCCCATTAGAAATGAGAATCGTGCTCCGTTCAAGTATTTTGTGGAACAGAATGGCCTCATTGATTTGGGGTTTAATGGACCAATCTTTACTTGGAAGAATATGCAAAGAGGAGTGGAAGGAATTAGGGAGAGACTAGACCGAGCTCTCTGTTCCCCATCTTGGGGCCTCAAATTCGAAAGAGCAAAGGTATTCCATGAAATCTTTGTAGAGTCTGACCACTGCCCCATCAGGGTGGACTTTGACATGCTGGAATCAAAGAGAGAAATCCCATTCCGATTTGATAAGAGATGGAGGTTTGAGGAGGAATGCATTAACATTGTTAAAGAGTGTTGGGACAAGGAAGGGGATGTCAGAAACAGCCTAAATAGTTGCAAGTCTAGACTAGAAAAGTGGGCGAAGACTGATAGACAAAGCAAATTGAAGAGGGAAGAGGAGATCAAGAAGAGAATGGTACAGATTCAAGAAATGGACAACTGGAATGATCACCTAGATGAAGAGAGTCAGCTAGGAAATGAGCTAGGGAATTTGTGGGCTAAGGAGGAGGAGTTTTGGCTACAGGTTTCCAGAGTAAACTGGCTATAAGGAGGAGACCAAAATTCGGCTTTTTTCCATGCGGCATGCATTCAGAGGAAGAAGATCAATCGGATCAACAGACTAAAAAATGGGGAAGGAGAGTGGATTGACAACCAGGATACTCTTAAGCTCATGGCCACAGAATTCTATCGTAGCCTTTTCAAGGCCAGAGACATCAATGAACTACGCTTTGATTTGGAAGGCTTCCCCAAGCTGGTCTCTGATGATATGAACTCAGACCTGGGAAAGGAGCTGACTAATGTGGAGATAAAAGAAGCGGTTTTTTCCCTGGGTGCAAGCAAAGCCCCTGGGCCTGATGGCTTCCCAGACCATTTCTTTCGAAGGTTCTGGAACATATGTGAGCCCAAGCTCTGTGAGGAAATTCGATCGTTCTTCAGGACATCAAAAATCCCAGAAGGATGGAATGATACGTTCATAACCATCATCCCAAAGATTGATGCTCCAGAAGAATTGGGCCAATTCAGACCAATTAGCTGTTGTAACTTCAGGTATAAAGTAATAACAAAGATTCTGGCTTCCAGAATCCAAAAATGGCTGCCGGAGCTGATCAATGAAGTACAATCGGCTTTCACGGGGGAAGGCAGATCCAGGACAATATTGTTATTGTCCATGAAGTTCTGAACCACTTCAGGAAACACAAGACTGGCCGCAAAAGAGATATGATGCTAAAGCTTGACATGAAAAAAGCATATGATCTAGTTGAATGGAAATGCCTTCTGCAGCTTCTGAAGGCATATGGCTTCTCGGATTTATGGTGCAGTTGGATTGAAGAGTGCATTTCAACAGTCAAGTTCCAGGTCCTATTCAATGGTTCCCCCTCCCAGAGCTTCCTCCCTTCAAGAGGGATTAGACAAGGAGATCCCCTCTCCCCACTTCTCTTCATTCTAATGACAAACGCCTTATCCTTTCTGGTGGAGAAGTCGATTGAGACTGGACGTATAAAAGGCCTCAAACTGAACCAATTCTGCCCTCGTCTCACTCACTGTCTTTTCGCGGATGATACAGTCCTCTTTGGGGAAGCATCAGAAGGAGAAGCTTCTAGTATGAGAATGATTGTGAAGGAGTATGGAGCTGTCACAGGACAAGAGATCAACCAGTCCAAATCTTCGGTGTCCTTTAGCCTCAATGTGCTAGAAGAAGAAAAACAGGGTATTAGGAATGCCCTGGGGTTTGAGGAAGGGGTGTACCATGATAAATACTTGGGAATTCCGACCTCGTGGGGAAGATCGAAAAAAGAAATGTTCCATTTTCTGATTGAGAGAATGGAAAAGAAAGGAGAAAGTTGGCAGAGCCTCCTCCTCTCGGCAGGTGGTAAGGAGGTCCTTCTGAAATCTGTCTTCCAAGCAATCCCGACGTATCTGATGACCATTTTCCTGTTCCCACAAGCAACTACAAATAAAATGGATGGAATGCTCCAAAGGTTCTTCTGGTCGGGTTCAACAACAAAGAAAACAATACACTGGAGAGCGGGGAATATTCTTTATGCCCCCAAAGAGGAAGGAGGATTGGGGTTCAGACCCTTTTCGGTTGTTAACCTAGCTCTACTTACAAAACAAGCCTGGAGGGTGATAAGCTCACCAGAAGCTCTCTGGGTAAGAACTCTGAAAGGTCTTTATTTCCCAAGAGGAGATTTCTTGGAGGCTAAGAAAGGAAGTCGGGCTTCATGGATTTGGAGCACCCTATGCGAAACTAGGAAATGGCTCATGAAGGGGATAGTGAAGGTTATTGGGAATGGAAGAGGAACAGATTTATTTAAAGACCCATGGATACCCACCTCTCCTGGCTATACCATCAATAGCCAGAACCAGGAAAGTAGAAGAGTTGAGGAGTTGATCAATCAGGAGAGCCGTTCTTGGAATCTAGCTGGAATGGAGGATAGCATCTCGGATGAGGTTCAGCAAGCTATATGTAGGGTACCAATTGGCTCACAGGGCATGGAAGATTTTTGGGCTTGGAGATTCACAATCAATGGGGAGTTCTCGGTAAAATCTGCGTATCGGGCTTTCCATGATTCTATCCGATGGGGAGCTACATAAAGGCCAGGAATATCACAATGGGAGAAGGAAAGATGGAAATGGCTGTGGAGTTTGAACCTACCCCCAAAGATCACTTTCTTCATCTGGAAAGCATCAAGAGGGGCTCTGGCCACCAAGAAAAATCTGTTTGAGAGACACTGTTCAGGGTCTAAGGCTTGCCCGTTGTGTAGGGCTGAGGAGGAATCCATTTGTCATGTCCTATTTGAATGCCCGCATGCAAAGGAAACATAGACACGTCTTGCCCCCTCTCTCCCCCTCCCTCCACCCTCGACAAGAGTTAACTTCTGGCTGTGGGGAGTTGGGGAAGCCTGGCCACAGGAGGGACCTCAGAATGCAGTCTTTATTCTGTGGAATATTTGGAAGGCCAGAAATTAGATGATCTTTAGGGATAGGCCACCCTGGCCTCCACGCACCATTTCCCAGGCTATGAATGAGTTCCTCTTCTGGAAGAACTGCCCAAAGATTAGAAGAGAAGAGAATGGTGTGCCCTGTCGGCCCAATCCACCTCCTTCCCACCCTACACCACCGCCATGTAGTCACCGAGAGGAGATTTCACTGTGATGGATCGTATTTTGACGATTCCCGGGAGGTGGCATATGGGTTTGTTGTTCTTAATACCCATGGTGAGGTTTACGAAGGAAGGGCCGATTCCCTGCTCTGCGAGTCAGCCTTGGAAGCAGAAGCGGTAGCTGTGTTCGAAGGATGCAAGTTCGCCCATTCACTCTCCCAGACATGCACTATCAAGTCTGATTGCAAGGTGCTGGTGGATGCGATTGAGGGGCCGAGACACAAATGGCCGTGGCCTATTGCAGCACGTATTGACGCTATTTGTGAGAGTCTCCGAAGTTTACATGGAGTGAAGGTGATTTTTGTAAAAAGAGATCATAATGCACTGGCCAATTGGGTGGCCCGATCAAGGGCAAAAAATCAACTCCCGGGAGACTGGATTGCAGTCCTTAATATTTTACTACCAATCCTGTAACCTTACTCTAATTTATGGGAATGCAGAGACTTATTGTAAAAAAAAAAAAAAAAACAAGAAATCTCAGGTTGTTTATTAAGATTAAAAGCAAGCACGTTGGTGGAGCTTTCTCCAAGAACCACAAAGGTCTGCAACTTTCTGTTCATCAGTCTCTCTCTATCCCTCCATGTCTCTCTATCTCAGCATTCCTCCCCTCTTCTTGTTCTTCCAACTCATACCGTGTTTCTTTTTCTGCATCTGGGTTGTTTTCAAGAATCATCTATGGAGTCTGCGACGAGACAATTGCATGGCCATACAGAAAAGAGAGAGAAAGTTCTGGAGAACTCTACTTTGGAGTCAAAACTGCACAAGGACTTCTGGAGTTCAAGTGCAAGAGCAAGATTCAGAAGCAAAAATGGGTCGATGGGATTCAAACCCTGCTTCGTTGAGTTAATAGCATGGAAGCAACTGAGAGATCTTTGGAATTTTTGAGCATAAACTACAGCATTTAGTCTCGGTTGCCAAAGTTTTGTACATTAGAAACTCAACAACCGAATCTGTATTCTGGTCTGAAGTCAACCCGCCAAGTCAATTAATGTTGCTGCTATATGTGGAAAAGAGAAAGGAAGCAATCTCTTTTCGTAAAATTTGCATCTAGTTTCTTTGTTTCTCTACACTCTTCCCATTTCAAATTCTAAACCAGATATAACGCATCCTCTGGGATTAACACAATTTGCGGTTAGAGCATCCATCAGACACTTGAAGCCAAGTATGAATTGCTCTTGGTACTAATTCAGACAAACAGATGAGAATAAAACAACAGAAAATCCTAAGGTGACAAAACTATGTATTTGCAAAATTCCCATGTTGAATAAACGTAAGATGTACATCATTGTAGTTCACTCTTGCTTCTACTGGTTTGATGTATCAATCTATCATTTGATGAATGAGTGGATTGTACAGACTAAAATAACTACCTACTAAATGCAAGAATCTAGTCTTTTTTTTTTACCTCAAAAGACGACAGTCTTGTTATGCTCATAGGGTAACACTCTTAGTTCACAATATGACTTTATAGCTTTGGCAAGGCATTGTTTTTCCAAGTTCTCCGACTTCTGAATAAAACTTCGAAGATTATCTCTATGTGTGACTCTCTCAACCTGCATCCGAACAATAGCTCATATTAGAATATCATTTACAGGCTCGAGGTCATGTTATAAAATGGTATTAACATATAGATCAGCAGCCACTGGTACCATCTGTTCAATAATAGGCCCTGAATCAAGTTCTTCAGTGACGAAGTGAGATGTTGCGCCAATTAATTTCACACCTGCATCGAAAGCCTGAAATGAAACACGTTATTTACGAGTCAGAGAAGTCACTTTACAGAAACGGTTCATTTTTCACTAAAACTGAGTTGAAGCCTAAAGCCAACCTGCTTAGAAGGGAATCCGCCTTTAAATGATGGCAGAAGTCCATGATGAATATTAATTACATCTTTCTCGTAGCTTCTTAAAAATTTACCAGATAGTACCTGCAATAAATTAATCTGACTATGAAAACTTCTTATCCCCAATATATCACAGGAGAGAAATCAAAGTCCTAAATAGATTCACACAAATTCATTTACCTGCATGTACCTGGCAAGTACTAGGAAATCAGTATTCTGGACCAATTTCAAAATCTCCTCCTCCCTTTTATTCTCTGTGCTTGTGTCTAAATAATGATAAGGGATCCCATTTCTTTCGAGGAAACGAATCACATGTGTATTTGCACCTCTTTCATGGTTACTATTGCAGAAAGCAGAGAGAACCCAAATGAGCATGTATCAAGAATAAAGAGCCTACTAAGAATGGATAAAGCTCTCAAAACTCAACCTAATTACACAAGCTATGTCGACCGGAAGTTTTCCATCCTGCCATCCATGCAGCATATCAGTCAGACAATGTTCCTGCAACAAGTGACTGTTTCGTTGGCGAAACTCGCGTGTTCAATGTGCACTGGTTTCAAGTAAACACAAACACACAAAATCAGCAAAAGATCGTCAAATATCCGCCGCCGAAGTCGGCGTCGTTGATTTGATCGATTAAAGCAGAAACCAAGACGATCGTCAAATGGCCGCCGCCGGTGTCGGCGTCGTTGATTTGATCGATGCACTTTTGACCCCTAATCAAACAACCGTTACTCGGTTCACCACCTCTCCAAACTACGTTCGAACGAGGGTGTTCAACGAGAAACGAGAAACCAAACCAAGAGTGTTCTAAGTTACGTTACCTCTACTCCTATGGAGGTTCCTCTGGAGAGCTCCGCGACTACGACTACAAGCTACGATCTACGACTCTGCAAAGGAGTTCTTTGACAGAGCGGTTCTACGAAACTAGAGAGAAAAAGATAATTCTGCAATGGTGCAGTTGTGATTTGATTTTGCCGTCCCTAGCTCCTCTCTCTTCCCAATCTTTATACTTCGCGCTTTTCCCCGTCGTAGTAACTGCCTTGGCGCCTTTGTCTCCCACGTCTTCATTCCTGTCAACCGTGCAGGTAACTTCCTCCTTGTTGCGTGATAATCACGTGCCCTCGAAACCGCTCTTGCTTTGCAGAAACTTGGCGAAACGACTTACAACCTTGTCCATGTAACGATGACGTTTCACCAATACCACGACATCGCCTTTCACCAACCGATGCCGTTTTATAATCCAACTCAACTGCCCCGACCCGGTTTAACCAACGACATTGTTAGTCCATCAAACAACGTCGTTCTCTAGTCTTGCGCTGTCGTTGGGTTTGGCGGGCCACTTTTGGCCGAGCTCTTAACCACTGCGATATCGTTTTTAATCAAACGCTATCGTTTATGATACCGCGATGTCGTTGATACCTCCTGCGACATCGTTTAATCTTTCCGCGGCATCGTTTTTCACTAATCGATGCCGACCTTGAACTGCTCCGTCCCGGTCCCATCAAACAATGTCTTTTTCATTCCACGACATTGTTCTCTACCAAACGGTACCGTTTTTCTTGTCTTGCGGTGTCGTTGAGCTTGCCGGGCCACTCGCCAAAATCCAAACCATCGTGGTATGGTTTTTAACAAAATGACATCACTTAGTAATACTACGGCGTTGTTGATGCCTTAAACGGTGTCGTTTTTAGCTAAACAACACCGCTTGATTATACCCGCGACATCGTTTTCAAATCCGCGGTGTCGTTTCTTTCCTCTTGCGGCATCGTTTTCAACTAAACGACACCGTCCTAAACAGCCATTAAAATATTAATTAATTAATTAATTCATCCATCACTAGCTATGGCCAACGACATCACTAGCGCCATAACAACTCCGTTGTTTGTTTTTCCTTTCTGCGACACTGTTTCTTATTTAAACACTGTCGTTTGCTAGTCCGCGGTACCGTTGGGCTTACTCGCGGTACCGTTTTAACTCTCCGCGATACCGCTTATCTCCATGCGGTACCGATTTTCCCCTTCCAACAAGGAATAAAAGTAATAATTAATTATAAACAAACTCCTTTTCCAATACTCAACTAACCGCGCGCCCCTTTTTTATTTTCGGTACCGTTTCCAGTACCGCGGTACCGCTGAGCTTCCTTGCGGTACCGTTTTCCTGTTTCGCGGTACCGTTTTAACTCTCCGCGACACCGCTCGACTCCACGCGGTATCGTTTTTTCCCTTTCCGATAAGGAATAAAGATAATAATTAATTAGAGAAAAAACTCCTTCTCCAACACCAATAACAAAACACGCGGCCCCGTCTTATTTTCCGGCGGTGTCGCGGTACCGCTGAGCTTCCTTGCGGTACCGCTTTTCCGTTTCGCGGTATCGTTTTAACTCTCCGCGACACCGCTCAACTCCAAACGACACCGTTCTTTACCCGCAGTATCGAATTAAATGCCGAGACTAATTAATGCGGCATTTAATTCAGGACAAATTAATTTTAGGTGTCAACAAATGCCCCCCACAATTTGGTTTATAAGAATTATGAACCAAATTGTTGACATAATCCAAAACACCTAAAATGAACATTAACTTCACCTAAAATCTCCATATTGGCTATAAACTTCCATGGCTGTGATTATCACGGTTGCCAATTAAATTGGACACAAACCATTGCTTTGGTTCTTTTTGTTGGGTATGAAGAAATCCACAACCACCATAACGTTCCACACATCCAGATTGGCCTTTAAGTAATCCCATCATTATTTTGGCTCACCATTCCAGGTAATGGTGCGGCGAGGTTTAGCCAAGAATAAGTAATGTATTTGTTTCTATCTTGGCTCTTATTGCAACGAGAAGTGAACAATCCCGTTCTAGTTGGGAGCAATAATGATTAAAAAATATAATAATAATAAAACCAACCACTAACCTATTCCGGGGAGGAGACAGCCGAAGAAAGAAAGCCCCAACGCTGCTAGCATTCCAACCCAACCCAGCCATGTTTGAGTCTAAACAAAACTCGCATCATTGATTGGTTTATCGCGGAAGTGTTTTTGAAATAGTTCTTTAACCGCAAACCTGCAGAGCTGCATTATCCGACACGTAGTGGAACCGAAACGCCAACATCTTTTTATCTTTTTTTTTTTTATATTATCATCAGGCCTGCTAGCAATGGAGGCAGCACTGAGTTTTTTTTTTTTCACCAGAGCTGTTGGCCGCCCTCTCTACCCTTAATTTTTTTTTTTATATTTGGGTCATCAGTGCTGCTAGCAACAGCGGCAGCTCTGACTGCCAAAATTTTTTTTTTTTTTTTATCAGGGCTGTCAGCCACAGCCGCAGCGCTGAGATGCTCTTTTTTTTTTATATATTTTATACCATTGCGGCCACGCTTAGGACCTCCAGCAGCACTGTTCATCATCCAAACAATCCTGTTTTTTTTTCTCCTTCTTTTTCAATTCGTCATCAGCGTTGTTTTGGCCGCTCTTTTTTTTTTTATGGTATAATAGAATAGTCATTTTGCTTCCGCAACACCGTGCCCCCCAACAATGTTGTTGATATGAAAAGAAAAATAAAGCGGCACCACTGCTACGTGGCTTAGGCAAAAATGGCCATGTTTGGTCATTATTTCCTAATCAAACATTATCAAAGAAAATTAAAAGTAAAGCCATGTTTAATCTTGGTCAATAGTGTGACTATCTCGACAACACAGTAATCGACAGACCATGTTTAACAACTCTGGCTTAAAGAAAACAACTCATTTAGCCAACACAACCATACACCAACAGCCTTGACTAGGTTAATGCAATGCCGATGGCATCTACGTAGCTCAGTCATGCATGAATCTAAAATAAAAAGCGATAAACTGGCTATACAACATGATTGCAACATATCCATGTTTTATTTCCTAACATTCACACGTAAAACAATCTTTGAAGCCATTCAGAATCAGAGTTAACTCGTACCTGTCAGAGTCATGCAAGCTGGCAATATGAACGTTGAATGTGGATCATCCTTCCCGCCAAAGTTGATTTCGTCCACAATGTCGCAGACAGCACACTGCTTCCTCTCCCAACTTGTTACTCGCATCCTCGCCGTTGATCGGCAACCCCTCTATCAAGGCCGTGATTTCGGCCTTCTCCACCCTCTCTTGAGGTGGCTTACTCTGATTTTGGTGGACCACCTAATGCAAGCATTGATGGTCTCATGATTTCGGACAATGGGTCCAAGCACGCCTTACTCAACACCCGTGCACTTGACACTATGACGTTGGTCGTTCCTCCATCCCCGCTCCTGATTTCGAGTGGTCCAAAATCTCCATGGTACAAAAAAGCTTCAGCAACGTTGGCCCCAACGGCAAACGGCTTTGTGTCAGCCTGTACCACCTCAACAACACCATCTTCATTCCAAAACATCAAACACTGATGCAGCGATGAAGGAACACACTTGTTGGCGTGGATCCAATCCCGGCCAAGTAGTGCGTTGTAGCTTATCATTCCATCCACCACGAAGAAAGCACTCATCCGCTTCTGTGATCCAACTCCCACGACCACTGGGAGGATTCCCCTAGCAGAAGTGGACCCGCCATTGAAACTTGTCACAAACACTTCTGTTGGGATCAAGTCATTAGTGTTCTTGCCCAACTTCTTCAGCATCCTTGTTGGCATCACATTTACTGCAGCGCCATTGTCAACTAAGACTCTCGACATTGGTACGTCATCAAGTGTGGCCCTGATGTAGAGAGGCCTCAAATGACGCATCATCTTCGGTTCGGGCTCGTTAAACACAACGACCCTGTTTGATTCTTCACACGTGGTTCCTTCGTCCACGGCTTTCGCTTTCGCTTCTGCAGCCTGGATAGATTTCTCCAGCTTGTCGAAGTCTGATTCCCATGTGATATTCTCCACCGGCACACTTGTTGACTCTTTCGGGCCTTGGTATAACACGTAAAAAGGATATCTTCCCTCATCTTCGCCTAGTGGCCCAACAGCTTTGTGGCCTGCTTCGTACAGCTCTTTCAGGATTCTCTGCGAACTCTTGTTCTGCCTGGCTGACTCTACTGCCAAGTCAATCCAACCATTCGTGCGGGCCATCATTGCACTCCACGGCTCAGCCTCGATTGGCAGATCCGCAGCCCCGCCAACCAACTCTGCCGCAGCTGGCTCCTCATTCTCCTCCTCTAAAGTCAGTTGAGCAAAACCGCTCACCAGCTCAGCAACGTTGACCTCTTGAGCAGCCTCGTCCAACTCCTCAACCTCCATCACGACTTCGCCATCCTCTCCCTGATTTTCCAAATCAATGTGGAAAATCAAAGGCAAGATGTAATTGTTCACCACAACCGGTGGTAGACTTCCAAACTGGATCGTCATGGGTGCACCTTGGTTGTCATCATCGTCATCCTTGTTTTTCCGATCGAATTTCGACTTCGGCTCCTCCAATTCCAGCATCTCCTCTTCGATGAGGGAGTCATCCAGCTCAGCATCGTACTCAGCCTCCCCCGGGACTCCCTGATCGTTCCCGTCCAGGTTGTCCTCGACAACCTTTCCAGCACCGGCCACAGTCACTCTCAGACCCGTGGCAGAGTTGTCTACGTTCACATTTGCTTGCAAGTTTGCAATCCTCCTTCCTTGAGCATTCTTGCGGAGGTACCTTCGATACTGCGTCCTTGTCATCGCGTCAACCGCAATGGGCTGCTGACGACGGACGTCGTAGGTGTGCCAACCACCCCGTGGCACATTTGGCATCCTGAAGGTTCTCCTGACAGGTGGGGGACCCCTCACTGGTTGGGCAAGCCCAAAAGGTAGACTTTCGAAAGGCGGGGCACTTTGAGCAACCCACTGCCTACGCTGCCCTCTTCCCCACGCAGGTGCACGTACTCCTTCGACACTGCGTTCATATGAGGGATACCTCGGTTTGAACTGTCGTGGTCCCAATCTCTGGTGGACCGACTGGCTCGGTCCCGCTCCCCCAATGGTTAGCTTTCCGCGACACTGGGCACACAACTTCTCTTCCTCAACTGGGTCCAAGCGTGGCCCCTCCTGCACTTGGGAGGATGAAGCTCCCTGGGCCACATCAGAACTACCACTCGGCGGCGGCGATGTGTCCACCACCAACTTGAAGCGTGGCAGGTTGATCTTAGAGAAATCGGGATTGACCATGTTGACGCCGACAACGTTTGGGAACGGGTCTGTGTCAACAATCATGGCCTCCTTCCTCGGCTCTGGGAACTTGAACCGACCTTTCTCAATTGCATCCTGCACAACGTTGCGAAACACAACACACATGTTAGTTGAATGAGATGCACTGTTGTGCCATTTACAGTATCGTTTCCCTTTTAATTTTTCAGCTGGCGGGATAGTATGCCCCCCAGTCAACTTAATTTGACCATCTTTGTAAAGCTGGTCGAAAATCAGTTCTGATTTTGAGATATCAAAGGAATATTTTCTAGTTTGAATCGGGGCACGATTGGGCTTTCCACCTTGTGGTTCCCCATCGGCCTTGGCTAGAGAAGCACACACATATGGCTTCCCCTGCACAATCTCGGCCAAATCAACTTCAACTTCGTCAACATCGTTGCCGACGTTATTCACACCATAGTTTTCAAAATTAGGGAAATATTGTCCGCGAGAGCCACTTCTCTTATGTTCTTCTTCACGGAGAAGAGATTCATATCTAACAGCGCAGGACATCAATTGAAACAAATCAGAAAACTCCCTATCTTGAAACTTTTTACGAAGTTCAAAATTCAATCCACCCTGGGCCAGTTTAACAAACTCGCGTTCTGTCAAGTTCACAAAACAGCGATTTCTTGCATTTTTAAAGTTCGTTAAAAAGTGTTCCACTGTTTCTCCTGGCTGTTGGCGCATTCGTGCCAAGTCTGCCATTGTCACCTCTGGCTCAGAACGGTAAAACTGGGCATGGAACATTTGTTCCATTTGCTGCCAAGTTTGAACCGAGTTCGATGGCAAGTTGACGTACCATGCGAATGCAGGGCCGGTCAACGAGTTGCCAAACAAACGCAACTTCAAGAAATCACTCACATCACCACACTGAACCGTGAATCGTCCAACATGCTCGACGGTGGACTGATCCCCAGTCCCGCTGAAGGTAATGAAATCAGGCACGCGAAAACCACGTGGAAAGGGGTAGTATCTATCAACCCAATCCGGATATGGTTTTCGATACACCGGCGGCATCGCTGGTCTAATCCCTAAACCAAACTGATCCGTCAGCATCTGTGCTACTTGATCTCGAATCGCATTAACGTCTTGCCCCCCGAGTTGCCCCCCTTGTGGTACGAATCCACCAGGATCCATGCCAAGCCCGTTTGGAGGAGGAGGCACGTTTTGTGGATAGCCGCGTGGCGGAACATGATCATTGTTGATCGTTCCTCCACCACCACCGCTCATCGGAGCCACGTAAGGTCTGGCCTCCGGAATATTTTGTGGACCCCCACCGTGAAACGGCGGTGGTTCAACCCGAGTGTGAGCGGCAGTGCTAGTCTCGCCAAGATTAACTCGCGGAGTTGGTGGGTTCATCACCGGTGTCGGCGAAGCTCCTTGTCTTGGCGGACTAATTCGAGCACTGTTGTTTGGAAAACCAGTTTCGCTGTTCAAATTGTTTTCACCGTTTAGCGGCAAATCCCTAGGTTGCGTTACTGGTCTACCCAAGAGCTCCCTGTTTCATTCATATCACGTAGATTTTTATCCCCGAAAACATCAAAATCATGTCTGTTTTTAGTCACAACTTCAAAGAGTTGGCCTAAACGCCTATCAACACGAGACTCAAGAGAATCATGTCGTGCAGTTAAAGCGTCAAAACGTTGATTTACCTCGCCTTTGAAGCCTGCGAACTCATTGTTGAGGCTAGCAAACATGCGACGGTTCTCCTCCATGAAATGGCGGATTGACAAATCTCCAGTCGGCCCAGCTGTGGACGGCGGATTCTCGGACCCGCCGATGTCTTCAGCACCGATTCCTTGGCCTCCTTCAATGTTGGCCACATGTTCCTCCACGATTCCGGGCGGAACATCCCCTTCCGGATTCCTTCGTCGCGGAGCCATTCGAACACACGGGTCCCACCAGGTGTGCCAATTTGTTTCGTTGGCGAAACTCGCGTGTTCAATGTGCACTGGTTTCAAGTAAACACAAACACACAAAATCAGCAAAAGATCGTCAAATATCCGCCGCCGAAGTCGGCGTCGTTGATTTGATCGATTAAAGCAGAAACCAAGACGATCGTCAAATGGCCGCCGCCGGTGTCGGCGTCGTTGATTTGATCGATGCACTTTTGACCCCTAATCAAACAACCGTTACTCGGTTCACCACCTCTCCAAACTACGTTCGAACGAGGGTGTTCAACGAGAAACGAGAAACCAAACCAAGAGTGTTCTAAGTTACGTTACCTCTACTCCTATGGAGGTTCCTCTGGAGAGCTCCGCGACTACGACTACAAGCTACGATCTACGACTCTGCAAAGGAGTTCTTTGACAGAGCGGTTCTACGAAACTAGAGAGAAAAAGATAATTCTGCAATGGTGCAGTTGTGATTTGATTTTGCCGTCCCTAGCTCCTCTCTCTTCCCAATCTTTATACTTCGCGCTTTTCCCCGTCGTAGTAACTGCCTTGGCGCCTTTGTCTCCCACGTCTTCATTCCTGTCAACCGTGCAGGTAACTTCCTCCTTGTTGCGTGATAATCACGTGCCCTCGAAACCGCTCTTGCTTTGCAGAAACTTGGCGAAACGACTTACAACCTTGTCCATGTAACGATGACGTTTCACCAATACCACGACATCGCCTTTCACCAACCGATGCCGTTTTATAATCCAACTCAACTGCCCCGACCCGGTTTAACCAACGACATTGTTAGTCCATCAAACAACGTCGTTCTCTAGTCTTGCGCTGTCGTTGGGTTTGGCGGGCCACTTTTGGCCGAGCTCTTAACCACTGCGATATCGTTTTTAATCAAACGCTATCGTTTATGATACCGCGATGTCGTTGATACCTCCTGCGACATCGTTTAATCTTTCCGCGGCATCGTTTTTCACTAATCGATGCCGACCTTGAACTGCTCCGTCCCGGTCCCATCAAACAATGTCTTTTTCATTCCACGACATTGTTCTCTACCAAACGGTACCGTTTTTCTTGTCTTGCGGTGTCGTTGAGCTTGCCGGGCCACTCGCCAAAATCCAAACCATCGTGGTATGGTTTTTAACAAAATGACATCACTTAGTAATACTACGGCGTTGTTGATGCCTTAAACGGTGTCGTTTTTAGCTAAACAACACCGCTTGATTATACCCGCGACATCGTTTTCAAATCCGCGGTGTCGTTTCTTTCCTCTTGCGGCATCGTTTTCAACTAAACGACACCGTCCTAAACAGCCATTAAAATATTAATTAATTAATTAATTCATCCATCACTAGCTATGGCCAACGACATCACTAGCGCCATAACAACTCCGTTGTTTGTTTTTCCTTTCTGCGACACTGTTTCTTATTTAAACACTGTCGTTTGCTAGTCCGCGGTACCGTTGGGCTTACTCGCGGTACCGTTTTAACTCTCCGCGATACCGCTTATCTCCATGCGGTACCGATTTTCCCCTTCCAACAAGGAATAAAAGTAATAATTAATTATAAACAAACTCCTTTTCCAATACTCAACTAACCGCGCGCCCCTTTTTTATTTTCGGTACCGTTTCCAGTACCGCGGTACCGCTGAGCTTCCTTGCGGTACCGTTTTCCTGTTTCGCGGTACCGTTTTAACTCTCCGCGACACCGCTCGACTCCACGCGGTATCGTTTTTTCCCTTTCCGATAAGGAATAAAGATAATAATTAATTAGAGAAAAAACTCCTCCAACACCAATAACAAAACACGCGGCCCCGTCTTATTTTCCGGCGGTGTCGCGGTACCGCTGAGCTTCCTTGCGGTACCGCTTTTCCGTTTCGCGGTATCGTTTTAACTCTCCGCGACACCGCTCAACTCCAAACGACACCGTTCTTTACCCGCAGTATCGAATTAAATGCCGAGACTAATTAATGCGGCATTTAATTCAGGACAAATTAATTTTAGGTGTCAACAAATGCCCCCCACAATTTGGTTTATAAGAATTATGAACCAAATTGTTGACATAATCCAAAACACCTGTTTCGTTGGCGAAACTCGCGTGTTCAATGTGCACTGGTTTCAAGTAAACACAAACACACAAAATCAGCAAAAGATCGTCAAATATCCGCCGCCGAAGTCGGCGTCGTTGATTTGATCGATTAAAGCAGAAACCAAGACGATCGTCAAATGGCCGCCGCCGGTGTCGGCGTCGTTGATTTGATCGATGCACTTTTGACCCCTAATCAAACAACCGTTACTCGGTTCACCACCTCTCCAAACTACGTTCGAACGAGGGTGTTCAACGAGAAACGAGAAACCAAACCAAGAGTGTTCTAAGTTACGTTACCTCTACTCCTATGGAGGTTCCTCTGGAGAGCTCCGCGACTACGACTACAAGCTACGATCTACGACTCTGCAAAGGAGTTCTTTGACAGAGCGGTTCTACGAAACTAGAGAGAAAAAGATAATTCTGCAATGGTGCAGTTGTGATTTGATTTTGCCGTCCCTAGCTCCTCTCTCTTCCCAATCTTTATACTTCGCGCTTTTCCCCGTCGTAGTAACTGCCTTGGCGCCTTTGTCTCCCACGTCTTCATTCCTGTCAACCGTGCAAGTAACTTCCTCCTTGTTGCGTGATAATCACGTGCCCTCGAAACCGCTCTTGCTTTGCAGAAACTTGGCGAAACGACTTACAACCTTGTCCATGTAACGATGACGTTTCACCAATACCACGACATCGCCTTTCACCAACCGATGCCGTTTTATAATCCAACTCAACTGCCCCGACCCGGTTTAACCAACGACATTGTTAGTCCATCAAACAACGTCGTTCTCTAGTCTTGCGCTGTCGTTGGGTTTGGCGGGCCACTTTTGGCCGAGCTCTTAACCACTGCGATATCGTTTTTAATCAAACGCTATCGTTTATGATACCGCGATGTCGTTGATACCTCCTGCGACATCGTTTAATCTTTCCGCGGCATCGTTTTTCACTAATCGATGCCGACCTTGAACTGCTCCGTCCCGGTCCCATCAAACAATGTCTTTTTCATTCCACGACATTGTTCTCTACCAAACGGTACCGTTTTTCTTGTCTTGCGGTGTCGTTGAGCTTGCCGGGCCACTCGCCAAAATCCAAACCATCGTGGTATGGTTTTTAACAAAATGACATCACTTAGTAATACTACGGCGTTGTTGATGCCTTAAACGGTGTCGTTTTTAGCTAAACAACACCGCTTGATTATACCCGCGACATCGTTTTCAAATCCGCGGTGTCGTTTCTTTCCTCTTGCGGCATCGTTTTCAACTAAACGACACCGTCCTAAACAGCCATTAAAATATTAATTAATTAATTCATCCATCACTAGCTATGGCCAACGACATCACTAGCGCCATAACAACTCCGTTGTTTGTTTTTCCTTTCTGCGACACTGTTTCTTATTTAAACACTGTCGTTTGCTAGTCCGCGGTACCGTTGGGCTTACTCGCGGTACCGTTTTAACTCTCCGCGATACCGCTTATCTCCATGCGGTACCGATTTTCCCCTTCCAACAAGGAATAAAAGTAATAATTAATTATAAACAAACTCCTTTTCCAATACTCAACTAACCGCGCGCCCCTTTTTTATTTTCGGTACCGTTTCCAGTACCGCGGTACCGCTGAGCTTCCTTGCGGTACCGTTTTCCTGTTTCGCGGTACCGTTTTAACTCTCCGCGACACCGCTCGACTCCACGCGGTATCGTTTTTTCCCTTTCCGATAAGGAATAAAGATAATAATTAATTAGAGAAAAAACTCCTTCTCCAACACCAATAACAAAACACGCGGCCCCGTCTTATTTTCCGGCGGTGTCGCGGTACCGCTGAGCTTCCTTGCGGTACCGCTTTTCCGTTTCGCGGTATCGTTTTAACTCTCCGCGACACCGCTCAACTCCAAACGACACCGTTCTTTACCCGCAGTATCGAATTAAATGCCGAGACTAATTAATGCGGCATTTAATTCAGGACAAATTAATTTTAGGTGTCAACAACACCTAAAATGAACATTAACTTCACCTAAAATCTCCATATTGGCTATAAACTTCCATGGCTGTGATTATCACGGTTGCCAATTAAATTGGACACAAACCATTGCTTTGGTTCTTTTTGTTGGGTATGAAGAAATCCACAACCACCATAACGTTCCACACATCCAGATTGGCCTTTAAGTAATCCCATCATTATTTTGGCTCACCATTCCAGGTAATGGTGCGGCGAGGTTTAGCCAAGAATAAGTAATGTATTTGTTTCTATCTTGGCTCTTATTGCAACGAGAAGTGAACAATCCCGTTCTAGTTGGGAGCAATAATGATTAAAAAATATAATAATAATAAAACCAACCACTAACCTATTCCGGGGAGGAGACAGCCGAAGAAAGAAAGCCCCAACGCTGCTAGCATTCCAACCCAACCCAGCCATGTTTGAGTCTAAACAAAACTCGCATCATTGATTGGTTTATCGCGGAAGTGTTTTTGAAATAGTTCTTTAACCGCAAACCTGCAGAGCTGCATTATCCGACACGTAGTGGAACCGAAACGCCAACATCTTTTTATCTTTTTTTTTTTATATTATCATCAGGCCTGCTAGCAATGGAGGCAGCACTGAGTTTTTTTTTTTTCACCAGAGCTGTTGGCCGCCCTCTCTACCCTTAATTTTTTTTTTTATATTTGGGTCATCAGTGCTGCTAGCAACAGCGGCAGCTCTGACTGCCAAAATTTTTTTTTTTTTTTTTATCAGGGCTGTCAGCCACAGCCGCAGCGCTGAGATGCTCTTTTTTTTTATATATTTTATACCATTGCGGCCACGCTTAGGACCTCCAGCAGCACTGTTCATCATCCAAACAATCCTGGTTTTTTTTCTCCTTCTTTTTCAATTCGTCATCAGCGTTGTTTTGGCCGCTCTTTTTTTTTTTATGGTATAATAGAATAGTCATTTTGCTTCCGCAACACCGTGCCCCCCAACAATGTTGTTGATATGAAAAGAAAAATAAAGCGGCACCACTGCTACGTGGCTTAGGCAAAAATGGCCATGTTTGGTCATTATTTCCTAATCAACCATTATCAAAGAAAATTAAAAGTAAAGCCATGTTTAATCTTGGTCAATAGTGTGACTATCTCGACAACACAGTAATCGACAGACCATGTTTAACAACTCTGGCTTAAAGAAAACAACTCATTTAGCCAACACAACCATACACCAACAGCCTTGACTAGGTTAATGCAATGCCGATGGCATCTACGTAGCTCAGTCATGCATGAATCTAAAATAAAAAGCGATAAACTGGCTATACAACATGATTGCAACATATCCATGTTTTATTTCCTAACATTCACACGTAAAACAATCTTTGAAGCCATTCAGAATCAGAGTTAACTCGTACCTGTCAGAGTCATGCAAGCTGGCAATATGAACGTTGAATGTGGATCATCCTTCCCGCCAAAGTTGATTTCGTCCACAATGTCGCAGACAGCACACTGCTTCCTCTCCCAACTTGTTACTCGCATCCTCGCCGTTGATCGGCAACCCCTCTATCAAGGCCGTGATTTCGGCCTTCTCCACCCTCTCTTGAGGTGGCTTACTCTGATTTTGGTGGACCACCTAATGCAAGCATTGATGGTCTCATGATTTCGGACAATGGGTCCAAGCACGCCTTACTCAACACCCGTGCACTTGACACTATGACGTTGGTCGTTCCTCCATCCCCGCTCCTGATTTCGAGTGGTCCAAAATCTCCATGGTACAAAAAAGCTTCAGCAACGTTGGCCCCAACGGCAAACGGCTTTGTGTCAGCCTGTACCACCTCAACAACACCATCTTCATTCCAAAACATCAAACACTGATGCAGCGATGAAGGAACACACTTGTTGGCGTGGATCCAATCCCGGCCAAGTAGTGCGTTGTAGCTTATCATTCCATCCACCACGAAGAAAGCACTCATCCGCTTCTGTGATCCAACTCCCACGACCACTGGGAGGATTCCCCTAGCAGAAGTGGACCCGCCATTGAAACTTGTCACAAACACTTCTGTTGGGATCAAGTCATTAGTGTTCTTGCCCAACTTCTTCAGCATCCTTGTTGGCATCACATTTACTGCAGCGCCATTGTCAACTAAGACTCTCGACATTGGTACGTCATCAAGTGTGGCCCTGATGTAGAGAGGCCTCAAATGACGCATCATCTTCGGTTTGGGCTCGTTAAACACAACGACCCTGTTTGATTCTTCACACGTGGTTCCTTCGTCCACGGCTTTCGCTTTCGCTTCTGCAGCCTGGATAGATTTCTCCAGCTTGTCGAAGTCTGATTCCCATGTGATATTCTCCACCGGCACACTTGTTGACTCTTTCGGGCCTTGGTATAACACGTAAAAAGGATATCTTCCCTCATCTTCGCCTAGTGGCCCAACAGCTTTGTGGCCTGCTTCGTACAGCTCTTTCAGGATTCTCTGCGAACTCTTGTTCTGCCTGGCTGACTCTACTGCCAAGTCAATCCAACCATTCGTGCGGGCCATCATTGCACTCCACGGCTCAGCCTCGATTGGCAGATCCGCAGCCCCGCCAACCAACTCTGCCGCAGCTGGCTCCTCATTCTCCTCCTCTAAAGTCAGTTGAGCAAAACCGCTCACCAGCTCAGCAACGTTGACCTCTTGAGCAGCCTCGTCCAACTCCTCAACCTCCATCACGACTTCGCCATCCTCTCCCTGATTTTCCAAATCAATGTGGAAAATCAAAGGCAAGATGTAATTGTTCACCACAACCGGTGGTAGACTTCCAAACTGGATCGTCATGGGTGCACCTTGGTTGTCATCATCGTCATCCTTGTTTTTCCGATCGAATTTCGACTTCGGCTCCTCCAATTCCAGCATCTCCTCTTCGATGAGGGAGTCATCCAGCTCAGCATCGTACTCAGCCTCCCCCGGGACTCCCTGATCGTTCCCGTCCAGGTTGTCCTCGACAACCTTTCCAGCACCGGCCACAGTCACTCTCAGACCCGTGGCAGAGTTGTCTACGTTCACATTTGCTTGCAAGTTTGCAATCCTCCTTCCTTGAGCATTCTTGCGGAGGTACCTTCGATACTGCGTCCTTGTCATCGCGTCAACCGCAATGGGCTGCTGACGACGGACGTCGTAGGTGTGCCAACCACCCCGTGGCACATTTGGCATCCTGAAGGTTCTCCTGACAGGTGGGGGACCCCTCACTGGTTGGGCAAGCCCAAAAGGTAGACTTTCGAAAGGCGGGGCACTTTGAGCAACCCACTGCCTACGCTGCCCTCTTCCCCACGCAGGTGCACGTACTCCTTCGACACTGCGTTCATATGAGGGATACCTCGGTTTGAACTGTCGTGGTCCCAATCTCTGGTGGACCGACTGGCTCGGTCCCGCTCCCCCAATGGTTAGCTTTCCGCGACACTGGGCACACAACTTCTCTTCCTCAACTGGGTCCAAGCGTGGCCCCTCCTGCACTTGGGAGGATGAAGCTCCCTGGGCCACATCAGAACTACCACTCGGCGGCGGCGATGTGTCCACCACCAACTTGAAGCGTGGCAGGTTGATCTTAGAGAAATCGGGATTGACCATGTTGACGCCGACAACGTTTGGGAACGGGTCTGTGTCAACAATCATGGCCTCCTTCCTCGGCTCTGGGAACTTGAACCGACCTTTCTCAATTGCATCCTGCACAACGTTGCGAAACACAACACACATGTTAGTTGAATGAGATGCACTGTTGTGCCATTTACAGTATCGTTTCCCTTTTAATTTTTCAGCTGGCGGGATAGTATGCCCCCCAGTCAACTTAATTTGACCATCTTTGTAAAGCTGGTCGAAAATCAGTTCTGATTTTGAGATATCAAAGGAATATTTTCTAGTTTGAATCGGGGCACGATTGGGCTTTCCACCTTGTGGTTCCCCATCGGCCTTGGCTAGAGAAGCACACACATATGGCTTCCCCTGCACAATCTCGGCCAAATCAACTTCAACTTCGTCAACATCGTTGCCGACGTTATTCACACCATAGTTTTCAAAATTAGGGAAATATTGTCCGCGAGAGCCACTTCTCTTATGTTCTTCTTCACGGAGAAGAGATTCATATCTAACAGCGCAGGACATCAATTGAAACAAATCAGAAAACTCCCTATCTTGAAACTTTTTACGAAGTTCAAAATTCAATCCACCCTGGGCCAGTTTAACAAACTCGCGTTCTGTCAAGTTCACAAAACAGCGATTTCTTGCATTTTTAAAGTTCGTTAAAAAGTGTTCCACTGTTTCTCCTGGCTGTTGGCGCATTCGTGCCAAGTCTGCCATTGTCACCTCTGGCTCAGAACGGTAAAACTGGGCATGGAACATTTGTTCCATTTGCTGCCAAGTTTGAACCGAGTTCGATGGCAAGTTGACGTACCATGCGAATGCAGGGCCGGTCAACGAGTTGCCAAACAAACGCAACTTCAAGAAATCACTCACATCACCACACTGAACCGTGAATCGTCCAACATGCTCGACGGTGGACTGATCCCCAGTCCCGCTGAAGGTAATGAAATCAGGCACGCGAAAACCACGTGGAAAGGGGTAGTATCTATCAACCCAATCCGGATATGGTTTTCGATACACCGGCGGCATCGCTGGTCTAATCCCTAAACCAAACTGATCCGCCAGCATCTGTGCTACTTGATCTCGAATCGCATTAACGTCTTGCCCCCCGAGTTGCCCCCCTTGTGGTACGAATCCACCAGGATCCATGCCAAGCCCGTTTGGAGGAGGAGGCACGTTTTGTGGATAGCCGCGTGGCGGAACATGATCATTGTTGATCGTTCCTCCACCACCACCGCTCATCGGAGCCACGTAAGGTCTGGCCTCCGGAATATTTTGTGGACCCCCACCGTGAAACGGCGGTGGTTCAACCCGAGTGTGAGCGGCAGTGCTAGTCTCGCCAAGATTAACTCGCGGAGTTGGTGGGTTCATCACCGGTGTCGGCGAAGCTCCTTGTCTTGGCGGACTAATTCGAGCACTGTTGTTTGGAAAACCAGTTTCGCTGTTCAAATTGTTTTCACCGTTTAGCGGCAAATCCCTAGGTTGCGTTACTGGTCTACCCAAGAGCTCCCTGTTTCATTCATATCACGTAGATTTTTATCCCCGAAAACATCAAAATCATGTCTGTTTTTAGTCACAACTTCAAAGAGTTGGCCTAAACGCCTATCAACACGAGACTCAAGAGAATCATGTCGTGCAGTTAAAGCGTCAAAACGTTGATTTACCTCGCCTTTGAAGCCTGCGAACTCATTGTTGAGGCTAGCAAACATGCGACGGTTCTCCTCCATGAAATGGCGGATTGACAAATCTCCAGTCGGCCCAGCTGTGGACGGCGGATTCTCGGACCCGCCGATGTCTTCAGCACCGATTCCTTGGCCTCCTTCAATGTTGGCCACATGTTCCTCCACGATTCCGGGCGGAACATCCCCTTCCGGATTCCTTCGTCGCGGAGCCATTCGAACACACGGGTCCCACCAGGTGTGCCAATTTGTTTCGTTGGCGAAACTCGCGTGTTCAATGTGCACTGGTTTCAAGTAAACACAAACACACAAAATCAGCAAAAGATCGTCAAATATCCGCCGCCGAAGTCGGCGTCGTTGATTTGATCGATTAAAGCAGAAACCAAGACGATCGTCAAATGGCCGCCGCCGGTGTCGGCGTCGTTGATTTGATCGATGCACTTTTGACCCCTAATCAAACAACCGTTACTCGGTTCACCACCTCTCCAAACTACGTTCGAACGAGGGTGTTCAACGAGAAACGAGAAACCAAACCAAGAGTGTTCTAAGTTACGTTACCTCTACTCCTATGGAGGTTCCTCTGGAGAGCTCCGCGACTACGACTACAAGCTACGATCTACGACTCTGCAAAGGAGTTCTTTGACAGAGCGGTTCTACGAAACTAGAGAGAAAAAGATAATTCTGCAATGGTGCAGTTGTGATTTGATTTTGCCGTCCCTAGCTCCTCTCTCTTCCCAATCTTTATACTTCGCGCTTTTCCCCGTCGTAGTAACTGCCTTGGCGCCTTTGTCTCCCACGTCTTCATTCCTGTCAACCGTGCAGGTAACTTCCTCCTTGTTGCGTGATAATCACGTGCCCTCGAAACCGCTCTTGCTTTGCAGAAACTTGGCGAAACGACTTACAACCTTGTCCATGTAACGATGACGTTTCACCAATACCACGACATCGCCTTTCACCAACCGATGCCGTTTTATAATCCAACTCAACTGCCCCGACCCGGTTTAACCAACGACATTGTTAGTCCATCAAACAACGTCGTTCTCTAGTCTTGCGCTGTCGTTGGGTTTGGCGGGCCACTTTTGGCCGAGCTCTTAACCACTGCGATATCGTTTTTAATCAAACGCTATCGTTTATGATACCGCGATGTCGTTGATACCTCCTGCGACATCGTTTAATCTTTCCGCGGCATCGTTTTTCACTAATCGATGCCGACCTTGAACTGCTCCGTCCCGGTCCCATCAAACAATGTCTTTTTCATTCCACGACATTGTTCTCTACCAAACGGTACCGTTTTTCTTGTCTTGCGGTGTCGTTGAGCTTGCCGGGCCACTCGCCAAAATCCAAACCATCGTGGTATGGTTTTTAACAAAATGACATCACTTAGTAATACTACGGCGTTGTTGATGCCTTAAACGGTGTCGTTTTTAGCTAAACAACACCGCTTGATTATACCCGCGACATCGTTTTCAAATCCGCGGTGTCGTTTCTTTCCTCTTGCGGCATCGTTTTCAACTAAACGACACCGTCCTAAACAGCCATTAAAATATTAATTAATTAATTAATTCATCCATCACTAGCTATGGCCAACGACATCACTAGCGCCATAACAACTCCGTTGTTTGTTTTTCCTTTCTGCGACACTGTTTCTTATTTAAACACTGTCGTTTGCTAGTCCGCGGTACCGTTGGGCTTACTCGCGGTACCGTTTTAACTCTCCGCGATACCGCTTATCTCCATGCGGTACCGATTTTCCCCTTCCAACAAGGAATAAAAGTAATAATTAATTATAAACAAACTCCTTTTCCAATACTCAACTAACCGCGCGCCCCTTTTTTATTTTCGGTACCGTTTCCAGTACCGCGGTACCGCTGAGCTTCCTTGCGGTACCGTTTTCCTGTTTCGCGGTACCGTTTTAACTCTCCGCGACACCGCTCGACTCCACGCGGTATCGTTTTTTCCCTTTCCGATAAGGAATAAAGATAATAATTAATTAGAGAAAAAACTCCTTCTCCAACACCAATAACAAAACACGCGGCCCCGTCTTATTTTCCGGCGGTGTCGCGGTACCGCTGAGCTTCCTTGCGGTACCGCTTTTCCGTTTCGCGGTATCGTTTTAACTCTCCGCGACACCGCTCAACTCCAAACGACACCGTTCTTTACCCGCAGTATCGAATTAAATGCCGAGACTAATTAATGCGGCATTTAATTCAGGACAAATTAATTTTAGGTGTCAACAGTGACAAACAATGGTTTGTCATAAATTCATAATGCGTACACAAACACAGCCGCTGGCTAGAATAAAAACAGACATCAATACCTGTTTTGAAGCAAGAACGGCAATTTTGTACTTTGGGTCTAGATCGGGCACCCTAACAACAGATCTCGTTGCATTGAACGATCTAGATAGCTTCATGAAATCCTCTTCCATCTGTGCCCTCGGCCATTTAACATAGTCGAAAATGAACTCACTGCACGCGTGTTGCAGGGGTTCTCAACAATCATAACAACAAAAAGCAAATACTATGCCTGATTAAGAAATGTGCTTTCTATCCAATAATGACTAACAATAGCATCATTTGCTTGATAGACATACGATATCAACCCCATCGAAGATGACAGACTTTTAAGCTTCAATATTACCAATCACGCAATCCAAATTCCCAAACCCAGAGAAAAGAGATGAATCCAAAAATAATATCTCAAATCTGCATTTCAAAAGAGATGAATCCCCCATAGTTTCTTCAACCAGCAACAGAAGCCCAACAACCCAAACGTTCAATGCGAATTCAAATGAAATCGTGTTACCTTCTGGAATAGAAAACCTCTTTGTTCTCCGGCACGAAAACGTCAGCTCCGAGGATGTTCCCGCCTCTGGAAGCAATGCAATCCGACAGCTTCGCGACGATACCACGAGCATCCTGTGAAACGGCAGAAACCCCATTTCAAATCGAAAGTTGCAAATGTAATTACTGCGTCGATAGAAACAGGAAGGAAGTTATTGGTGGAGGGTACCGGGCATTGGAAGACATGGACGCCATAGGTGATGGATGAAGAGTCGAGAGGCTCGCCAGGGAATCTGAAGGACTTGATTGACCTGCTCGCGAATCCCAAAATCTGGGGAATGAAGGTCCGAGGAATCTTCGTCCTCCGCAGAATCGGACTCATTTTCTCATTTTCTTCCCTTGTTTTCTCGGCTCTTTCTCCTTTTGTGCCCGAGGCTCGGCCATTCCTACCACCACCAGCTAAATTGGCGCCGTGCTTTTTTTGGGTGGAGGGCTGACGATGTTTAGTTGGAACTTCGGATAGGATAACCGGAGAGGATGAGGTAGCTAGTAGCTACCCAGGTTCGTGGTTAACGGATCAGTTCGAGTTGGACCAAGGAAGGAACCAACCAACCCATATTGAAATCATGTGGGTAAGTATGGGTGGTAATCGGTCGGTATTCGGTATAGCCGGTATTCGGTATACCAGCAATTGAAGTTATGTCGTCAAATACCGATACCAAAAGTTATCCGATATACCGGATACCAGATAGTCGATTACCGGTATTTTAACCGGGATATCGGATAGATCATTTTCTTTCAAAATTGCATTCATTGAATTGTGAGTTCTAAATTCGCTGAAAATAAACCTTTCGGATTGAACTTACTTTCAGAGTTCTAGCTCCAGCCAAAACCTCGGGTTGTTTGACTTTTACTTCCTCGTCCAAAAGCAATATAATGGCCGCTTGCACCGCCGCCGGCAGATCCATTTTTCGCTCCTCCGCTCACAATTCGGCTACCCGTGTTGCCTCCAAAATCAAGGTCGCTCCAAAATCCTCTCCAGCTTCCTCCTTTAGTGCTTCCGCCAACAAGCCTCTCTCTCGACCTGCCTTCAGCTAGGCATTATTTATTCACAACTGTATATTGGTTTTTGTAACACCCCGACATTTGAGTTCAAGTTCGATCATGATAAATGATCGATTGGATAGAAGGTTACGTACGAAGGATTGCGGATTAGGAATAATTATAATAACTATATTTATTATTTATTATTATTGTTAACAAAAAAAAGGGGGAGGGGGGAGCAGAAGGGGTAAACCCCCTCCACGTCAACTCCAACCCAAATAATTGAGATTTTTTCAAAAATAGCACTGTTTAAAAAAAAATTCCAAAAATAGCACCCAACTCCGAAAAATTCCAAAAATAACACCCTTTTTATAAAACCGCCACCCGGATGTGCGTTTTTCGATGAAAACGGCCACTCGAGGGCGCGTTTTTCGATGAAAACCGCACTGGTAGGGGGCGGTTTTGCAGACCGCACCCCCACCATACGGTTTGGTTGCAGACCGCACCCCCACAATGCGGTCTATTTTTTTTTTTTTTTTTTGAAAAATCCTAACCTAGGTGGAAACTTCAAACGAACGTATCTTTATGTTCGGGTATCCGATCGTCGCGATTTTTTTTTTTTTTTATTCTGCATAACTTTTTGAGATCTTCCAAGCCAAAGACTGCCAAAGGTGGTTTGATAGCTTGTCGGGTTTTTGTTGTTGTTGAAACCCTAGGGAACCTTGTGCTTGGTATAGTTGTTGGAAGCCCGAGCCTTGGACTTGAGGTCTTTGTTGGATGAAGGTCGGCCGAGGTTGAAAATTTTCCGTGTGGCCTTGAAAACCCGGGGGCCTCGGATTTGTCAGCGATGCCCAAGCAAAGTTGGGGTGGTTCCTCCATCCGGGGTTATAAGTATTGATATACTGGTTGTTGACCTAGCATTTGCCACGAAGTTGACTTGTTCCTCCGGAGCGGTTTCCTCCTTCATTGCTTGACACTCTGCCATCTCATGCTTGGTGCTCGAGCACCAGTCGCACGACATCACCGGCATTTTGCCTTGCCTCTTATCTTCAAGGATAACCTCTAACAACTTATCCAACTTCGCCTCAAGCGGAGCACTCGCTCCCACGCTTCTCACTCTCCTATCATTCCTTCTCCTTCCGCTTCTAGTCAACCCCCAATCATACCCCCTAAGGGCCATATCTTCAAGTATCTCGGTTATTTGGGGTGGAGCCATATTCATCAATTTCCCTTGACACAAGGAGTCAATGAGAATTTTATCTTCTTGCATTAGGCCTCCGAAGAAGGTTTCGATCTGAAACTGTTCTTCAAACCCGTGGTGAGGGCACTGAAGAAAATAGTCGGAGTACCTCTCCCAAGCATCCCCCAAGGTCTCATTCTCTTCTTGCTCGAAATGAGTTATCTTCTTTCTCCACTCCGCCATCTTCGAAGGCGGGCAGTAGCGAGCCATAAACTTGTTTAGGAGGTCGTCCCATGAGGTGATTGACCGAGGTGGGCGGTTGTTAAGCCACGTAGGTGCTTTCCCCGAAAGTGAATACAGGAAAAGTCTTAGTTGCAAAGTTTCGGCCGGCACACCATTGATTTTCAAGCTCCCCGTGAGCTCCAAGAATATCTGCACATGCTCTCTTGTTGACTCGCTCTCAAGGCCGTGGAATAAAGCATTGTTTCGTATCATAGTCACTAGAGCCGGCTTGATCTCGAAATTGTTTGCCGCCACCAAAGGATGTAGGAATGGTGATTGAATGTCCGCCAGCCTTGGGGCCATATAGTACCCCATCGTCCTCGGGGCTTCCTCTTCCTCCAGCGCATTGTTCAGTTGATGAGTTTGGGCTCCATCTTGCCTTTGGTTCCCCGCCATTTCTACTACAATGAAGGGTTCAACTTCTTCAACTTCTTCTCCACTAACACCGGGACCCAAATGTTGTCCCCTTCCTTCACTCCTTCTCCTTGCCTCCGCTAGCTCTCTCTCCCTTTCAAGGAGCCGGAGAGTATGGTTTATGTCCTCTTCAAGTGGTAGCAAAGGTACCGGGTTACTCCGGGTCATGCACCAGCTAGACACAATCGGAAAACACACCAAGTCTAGCACAAGCAAAGCACACACACTTTCAAAACTGGAAATTAAAAGCTATATTAACACCAAACAACTTTTTCAAGATAATAGACCGTTTTCCTCGGCAACGACACCAAAAACTTGACTCGTCCCAAATACCACAATAATTTCCCGCCTAAGGTCCAAGTATAAACCTTAGTCGGGTGCAGTACAGGATAATTATGTTTAAATATCAACCTGGGCCGGTCCGTCTACCCCTACTTCAGTCATTTGAATCAATAAAGTTTTGGTTGAAAGTTTGCTAATTAAAGTAAAACAAAACAAAGGTGAATGGTTTTGAAAGATCTTTTGTGGAAGGATCACTCGGGTGTCGCTTCCCCCTAACTACTACCATGGTATGTGGACCAAAATGATTGCTATGGGCAAGGTGATCGCTAACCGCTAGGGGACGCAAATATGGTCGTAGACCACGCTCATTATTACTAAACCGAGGCATGTATTATAGGCTGTCACTAGGCCCTCTCGGTTTAGGTAACCAATGTTGACTTACTCCCTCACTCAACCCAAGGGTTGGACGGCTTAATCACGCTTAACCAAATTGCTTAATCCAATATTGAGGTTTGCCCTAAATTAACCTAGTTAGTATACTTGAAAAGCCCTAGGGATACCAACTCAATTGAGACTCCCTTGGAAGGGGGGTTTCCCTCTCTAGACTAGGTTAAGTGGCTAATTAGATTGCTAAGCATAGACATGCACAATCTTTAGGTTGCTAAGCATAGACATGCACAAACCTAAGGATGTTAAGCACAAACATGCACAATCAAGATGAATAATACCTCAAACATTTGAATTAAACAATACCCAATGACAATCATTCAATTCACATAAAAGAAAACTACATGGTAGAGTTAGGGTTTCTCAACACCCAAGTGAAAAGAATTCTACTCCATGCTAGAAATGGGGGAAACACAAGGAGAAGGGGTAGAAACCATCTTGGAGGAGGCTTCCAATCTTCTTGGCCCTTGTGTTGAACTTTCCTTGGAGAAAATCTTCCCAAAATCCACCTTGGAGCAAAACCCTAGCCTCCTTCTTCTTTGGTTCATGTTTCTCTCTCTAGAAATCAGAAGAAGGCTCTCACTCAAGTGGGTTATCCTCTCGCTTCCTTTTAGCTCAGCTTTTAAACAGAGAACGCGCTGTGTTCACGGCTCCAGTTCACGGCCATGAACACCGAAACGCGTCTATGAACTCCAATTAGGCGCCGAAATGCACCGCTTCGTGTGCTTGTGCTCACGGTCTTAGCGACCGTGAACACAATTGGCGTCAGTAACTTGCATTTTGGCTCTAGACGCCTCAAAGTTCACGCCCAATGGTTCTTCTTCACGATCACACAGGACCGTGGACAGCCAAAGAAAACCGTGAACTCCCCGTTTTTCACCTCTTCTCCCGGTTCCACCTTTCGACTCCGAGGCTGGTTTCACCTGTTAAATCCTGAAACAAACTAAAACACGAGAAACCTAGCGTAAAATTGACCTTTTAGGAGCGAAGTTGCCACAAACGCCTAAGGAAAACGAGGGCAAAACATGTACAATTAAGCCCGAATCAATTTCAAAAGTCAGAAACAAGAAAGATCGTGAAAGGATGTTCAGAGAAAGTGAAAGTTCTCAGATCCGCTCCGTTTGTGTTATAGCATTCTGCATGATTTGTTTATTCTCGATTGAGAGAGATTAATAGTTCTACCACAATTGAATGGCGGATTTGATGATTGCTAGCTTTATTTCCATATATATATATATATATATATATATATATATATATGACATCTCTATTTTTGACATTGGTCTGTTTTTCCGAGCTTATTTGGGGAGTATTTGTGATGTGGGAATGAATATCTGGAAGGTAACTCGGCGCAGCCATGAGCCCGATGCCATCTGCTCCCCCGCAAGGTCAGGTAGGGTGGAAATCGATACGGTATTGGTATCCCAATTTCAAATACCGAAATCTCGAATACCAAATTACACTCTAAAGTTAATCCCAATCCCAATCCCTAAATAATTTCGGTATCCCAATCCCAATCCATAAATATTTTGATATCCCAATCGGTACTTCGGTATCCCAATCGGTATTATCGAATACGAAATTAATTACTTTTGCAATTAATAATAAAATATATAAATTAGATTTGATTGTTTAATTTAGGGCAAAGAGACTAAGCAAATAGTCTTGTGTTTGCCTAGAGCTAGAATATGGATAAAGAGAATGGAGGAGAGGTGACATCTCGAGTTCTTGTCATTGGTAATCTTTAATTTGACGAATTGGAGGTTGAGAGATGACTAATACTAGTGTTTTCTTTTTGGTGTTATGAAAATAACTAGAGATTAGGTGAGAGACGAGAGTGACGTAAACTGGAAAGTCAAAATTGAGTTTGACGGGAGCTTCTAAGTTGTGAAAGAGTGAGGAATGACTAAATGTTGTGTGCTATATTTCATTAATCTTTAATTTTCGGTATTTATCGGTATTTCGGTATATATCGCTCCCAATCCCGTAATCCCAAATACCGAATAGCACTCCAAAATGAATCCCAATCCCTAAAAAAGTCTCTTTTTTCTTCATTTTTCGAGTTTTTCACCTGTGAGCATGCACGCATATGGTGTGTTTCTAAACACCCTTTTCTATTTTTTAATTTTAGGTTTGTTATGCTCCCACTTGCTGGTGAAAGTTTTGATGTATGCCCTCTAAGGATGTACATCTGGGATTCAGAACCGTGGTTGGGAGAAGAAACGAGAAGAGAAAACTTTAATTTTCGGATTCCACAAGAGAGGGAGAACCGGAGGAAGTTGAGATCTCTTTGCTCTGTTCGTTCTTCTATACTTCCTGTTCAACTCTCTTATCGACTTCTCACTTTCACTCTTTGGGTTTTTCTTCTCTGATTGAGGGAGGGAGTAATATAAAGCAGGTGAGGAAGGGTGAAGGAGTGGCACGTAGAGAAGGTCTATGCGTTCTTCTCTGGAGAAATGGAATAGGTTGGTATCCCCATTCGATGACCCCTTTGATAATCGATTTTCAATCTTTTTTTTCTCTTCATCTCCTGTTTGTTCAGTATGGATATTAAACGTTTGTTAATAGAGTCAATGGCTAGCCGAGTCTCCATAATTCATATCGTGATATCTGAAGATGGTGATTTCTTACCCTCTGTTTTCCTCTCAATGACAGGAGTGGAATCTTTGGGATTTACATTATGTGAATGATCGGCGGTTGCGGGAGTGGAAAGAAGACGGAGACGACTCATCAGCAAGTAGCAACTCTTTTTATCAGCTGGTGTGGGGATGCGTTGGCTGCATTCATTTTCCAGGATCTGCTTTTGACCTACCCAGTGAAGTGATCATTGCCAGCAAGCAGCTCATTTTCCCAGAGTTTGTTGTTGTGAATCTAGGCGAATGTCGTTTTTTTATACAACTTTAGAGATTTCCAACTTTGCTTCTTGCTTGTTGATCTGATAGTTCCTTTACAAGGCTGATACCAATCTTTAAGATATGCAATGAGTTAGGGTAGTTAGCTAGGTCATTGTAATTTGCTACCAAAATTTATTGATGTATGAATTTCCTTTGTGGGAAAACAATACCTTCCATTGTTGTTTAGTAACTTATTTGGGAATCATGCCATTTATCTAACTTACAATACCTTAGTAGCTTTATGGTTAGAAATATGTTTTTACCCCGTGATGGATTCATTCTAAATAGTAAATTCACTATGGTTGAAATGCAGAAGGAGAAGAAGTGAAGTTGCACGACTGGAGCGCCATTAATTCTTATGTTCGGAATTCATTAACATTTTGTTCTTTGTACATGGCATTGTGGTACAGATCTGGCACAAAATGTAATTTTGGTATCTCGGTCTAATATGAGGATTAAAAATCTTAATGAAGCTTAAGGTTTATGGTTATTATGGTTCTACCAATTCTTTGTAATTTCCTTTCCATAGGTTGTATCTTAGTTTGTGCCATTTGAATTTTACTGAAATGGCGAATTGAACCGCTTCCTACTCAATCGCAGTACAATCTTGACATCTTGATTTGTCTAATGGAAAGTGCAGCTCTGCTTAAATGGTTGCTTTCTGATGTGGTAATTTTGCGTTACTGCATAAGTCATATTGTTCTTAATCTTTTTTATTTACTTTTTGGTTTGTTGATGGTAGCTATATAACTGTTTACATGTGTGTATTCTTTCCAACTTTCCATTATGGTAACGGTAGATTACACAAATCAAACGTATCTCGCAGTAGAGTGCGGGCTGATTACTATTTTTTTTACATCGGCGGGCTGATTACTAGTAAACCTTTAATTCGTAATAATAACAGTATAATACCGTAATACATGGTTAAAGGTCAACTCTAATAAGTTTAATTAAGAAATAAATGACAGTTAGTTATATTGTTTTATTTAGTAATTATATGTAATGCTTATATTGTATTTTTTTCTCTTTTTATGGAGGTCTAAATAATTATGCATAGTTGGATCACTTTAAAAAATGTTACGTGCATAACTAAGGTAAAAAACAACCATTTCATGCATTTCAAATTATCTATTATATCCATCATTATATATCATATTTCTTGACAAAATATTTTCGGCCAACAGGTCGTTCCCTGTGCTAGTAAACCTTTAATTCGTAATAATAATAATAGTAATACCGTAATACATGGTTAAAGGTCATTGCGCCTTTCTCCATTCAAAAATAGGTTAGTTTTATTCAACCAACACTCACTTCACTAATACTATAACACCCTAGCTCGGACGAGCACTACTTTTACTAAAATGCCATTGAAAAATAAAATACTAAAATCTTAAATTGCAGTGGAAACAATTTTCATAAACAAAGTACTGAAAACACACACTTGTAGTTCAAAGCAACGCCCTAACACATGAGCAAACTCAATACTTAAAATCTCAAAATTCTCTCCAGTCTATACTCATAATCATAAATGTAAATAACTAATAATCTCTAATATTGTTGCTGACCGATAACCTTGACTAGACATCCTTCGGGACGCTTATACTGCCTCCTCTAGCTGGTTGCCCTCGAACTCGCTGCTCACTAACTGCTCCTCTAGGCGAATATCGTTTTTTTTTTTTTGTATACAACTTTAGATATTTCCAACTTTGCTTCTTGCTTGCTGATATGATAGTTCCTTTACAAGGCTGATACCAATCTTTATGATATGCAACGAGTTAGGGTAGTGAGCTAGGTCATTGTAATTTGCTACCAAATTTATTCATGTATGAATTTCCTTTGTGGGAAAACAATACCTTCCATTGTTGTTTAGTAACTTATTTGGGAATCATGCCCTTTATCTAACTTACAATACCTTAGTAGCTTTATGGTTAGAAATCTGTTTTTACCCAGTGATGGATTCATTCTAAATTCACTATGGTTGAGATGCAGAAGTAGAAGAAGTGAAGTTGCACGACTGGAGCGCCATTAATTCTTATGTTCGGAATTCATTAACCTTTTGTTCTTTGTACATGGCACTGTGGTACAGATCTTGCACAAAATGCAATTTTGGTATCTCGGTCTAATATGAGGATTAAAACTCTTAATGAAGCTTAAGGTTTATGGTTATTATGGTTCTATCAATTCTTTGTAATTTCCTTTCCATAGGTTGTATCTTGGTTTGTGCCATTTGAATTTTACCGAAATGGCGAATTGAACCGCTTCCTACTCAATCGCAGTACAATCTTGACCTCTTGATTTGTCTCATGGAAAGTGCAGCTCTGCTTAAATGGTTGCTTTCTGATGTGCTAATTTTGCGTTACTGCATAAGTCATATTGTTCTTAATCTTTTTTATTTACTTTTTGGTGTGTTGATGGTAGCTATATAAATGTTTACATGTGTGTATTATTTCCAACTTTCCATTTTGGTAACAGTAGATTACACAAATCAAATGTATCTCGCAGTAGAGCGCGGGCAGATTACCATTTTTTTTACATCGCCGAGCTGATTACTAGTAAACCTTTAACTCGCAATAATAATAGTATAATACCGTAACACATTGTTAAAGGTCAACTCTAATAAGTTTAATTAAGAAATAAATGACAGTTTGTTATATTTTTTTATTTAGTAATTATATGTAATGCTTATATTGTATTTTTTTCTCTTTTTATGGAGGTCTAAATAATTATGCATAGTTGGATCACTTTAAAAAATGTTACGTGCATAACTAAGGTAAAAAAACAACCATTTCATGCATTTCAAATTATCTATTATATCCAACATTATATATCATATTTCTCGACAAAATATTTTCGGCCAACAGGTCGTCCCCTGTGCTAGTAAACCTTTAATTCGTAATAATAATAGTATAATACCGTAATACATGGTTAAAGGTCATTGCGCCTTTCTCCATTCAAAAATCGGTTAGTTTTATTCAACCAACACTCACTTCACTAATACTGTAACACCCTAGCTCGGCCGAGCACTACTTATACTAAAATACCATTGAAAAAAAAAATACTCAAATCTTAAATTGCAGTGGAAACAATTTTCATAAACAAAATACTGAAAACACACACTTGTAGTTCAAAGCAACGCCCTAACACATGAGCAAACTCAATACTTAAAATCTCAAAATTATCTCCAGTCTATACTCATAATCATAAATGTAAATAACTAATAATCTCTAATGTTGTTGCTGACCGATAACCTTGACTAGACATCCTTCGTGACGCTTATACTGCCTCCTCTAGCTGGTTGCCCTCGAACTCGCTGCTCACTAACTGCTCCTCTAGCTCCTCCTCTAGCTCTTCAAACTGGTGGGTGAGATGGGATCAGTCTACGCCCTTATGTTTTAAATGTCGAATACTTGAACACTTTGCTTAAAACACTTACTTAAACAGGTGGAAGTTGTTCTTACTTACAACCTTAAAAACTTTAACTCCTAAAATTGTGTTATCTCATTTTTTATCTTATTGTGGGGCCCTTACCTCGACTTAGATGGCACTACTAACCTTACTTAAAAATGGCTACCCTCACAATGGGGTGCCCCTCAAACTGAGTTTTGACTATCGAGTTACGTATCGCCGTCCGGTGTCAAAACTAATGTATGTCAACCGCGTTACGTATCGCCGTCCAGTTGCATACCTAAAACTTGGCAATGGAAACTGCGTTACATATCGCCATCCAGTTCCATGCCTGATCAACTACTGCGTTACGTATCGCCGTCCAGTAGTGATCCCTCGTGAACGTGGCTAGCTAAGCGAGGTTACTTATCTTGTTCTTACTTATTACTTTTCCTTACTCTCTTCACCTTAACTTATTTAAGGGTGAAGTACTACTAAAGCTTATTCTTACCAATCACAACCTCTTAATAAAAGAGAAACTAAACTGCTTAAAAAGTAAATAATGAAAACTCAAGTAAGCACATTAAACAATATTTCCAACGAGAACATGCATTATCAAGCATAAACATAATCAAGCAGTGACATATATTTTACGTAAAACATATATTTAAAACTCGTAAGGCATAAAATTTACCCTCTTTACACACCTTAAACTCCGTCACACTGTCGACCAAAGAGTCATGGCCGCCAACACTTCTCAATAGCCACCACCGAACCAGCTTCGGAGCTTCCTGAGTTTTGGAATTTGGAACTCGCAAGCACAGTTGAATCCCAATAAAGCCGCCACAGCTCCATCTACGGGTGATTACAAACACTTATATGAAGGTCTTATCAAAGGTGGTATTCTCTTATTCTTCATTATAAACTCACAGCGTGGGTTTATACTGTTAGCTTCCACCTTGACTTTATTCTTTCTAAAGACCCATCATCTCCCACCTAAATTCATACGTACATGCTTAGTTCCCATTGATTCCCTTACATAGGATTATGATGAAGCAATTAACTTAGCTTGCCCAGTTAACAAGGTGTACCACTCCACTAATACTATCCAGCCCCAGTGGCGGACCCAGAATTTTTTCATAGGGGTGTCCTCTTTTAAAAATAAATTAAATAAAAATAATTGATAATTAATAAAAATAAAATCGTAAATTTGAAAATACTTTACTCGTACAGGTTACAAAAGTACATGATTTGTTTTCATATTCGGAAATAATTGTAGAATACACTTGGTGTCTATAGTGTTAAAAAAATTGTCTCTATATACCCTACTAGACAATCATTCACGAACTTATCGCATATTCGATTTGTAAACTTGTTCTCGATGTAACCAAAGCTGAAAGACTCTTTCAACACTTGCCGTATTAAGGGTAGCTTGAAATTAGTTTAATTGTTAGGTTTTTAAAATGATTAGAGATAGAAAATGACATTTTACTATTACATTTTTCAAAATTGAACAACAAATGAGTTGTAGGTCAACGAAAATTAAGTTTATTAATAAGAATAGTGTTCTAGATTTGAATTACCCAATATACCACTTATATTCCTATACACAAATGACAGTAGGATAATCATGTTTTCAAATTTCAGGGGTGTCGCTCACTATCAATATTCAATTATATTTTTTTTGTCCATACGTAAATTACCACCGGGGGTTGGATAATCGTATTCCCAAAATTTAGGGGTGTCCCCTAAAACCCCCTGGGGCCAGCCCGACCATCATTGTGATATTAGCTTGCAATTTAACTTACATCCACGCTCGATTTCTTTACGAGCTCCCCTACGTCAATTTCTGTCTCGTCCTTGTATTCACATGCTAGCTGACATATTCTACCATAATGGGTTAAAGACACATTTGGTCACTGAGATTACAAAATCGGGACATGTTTAGTCACTAGAGAAAGTTAATATCAAATTTGGTCACTACAATTACTAAAACCGGACACATTTAGTCACTCGCCATTAGTCTCCGTCCAACTCCGTTAATGAAGTCCGTTAAGTGCTAATGTGGCAAACAGAATTGCCTAATCAGCCGGATATAACCCAACAAAAATAAAATCCAACTCGCCACGTCATTATAACCCGCCACGTCATTAAAACCAACCCAACCCAACCCATGACCCAACCCCACCCAACCCTTCTTCCTCCTTCCTCCCACCTCGGCACCTCCCACCTCCTTCTTTCCCCAAAACCACCGCCGTCGCCGCTCTCCCCTGCCGCCGTTGCTGCTTCCATTCTCCAGTGAGCCGGTCTCCGCCGCCGCCGAAATGAGTCTTGGCAGCGTCCAAGCTGGGGAAATACGTCGGCTCCAAGAACAACCGAGTCAACGAGTCGCACGACTCGGAGCTCGCCACCACCACCGCCGCCCCAGCCGCGTTCCCCTTCGCCTCCAAGCTCCCCATCACCGCCACCAGCACCTGCTTGTACGCGTAGAAGAATTTCTTCAGCGCCGCCTCCACCGCCTGCAAAGCCTGCAGCAGGTGAATCTTCTCGAAGTCGGACTTCTCCCTGTATAGCCTCATCGCCGCCTCCTGAATCCTCGGCCCGCCCTTCGGGTCCACCTCCACGCCCAGAATCGCCGGCGATCAATTACACTGCCAGAATTGACATTGGAGGAAATGCCGATTTGTACCTTATTCGAATTGGACCGGAGAAATTGCAATTTGAGATTAGCAATGAGAGGGTTTATGAAATCTGGCGATGTAATTGATCGCCAACGAAGAGGGGGGGGGGGGATGAGGTAGAGAGGGAGAGTGATAGAGAATTTAGGTGGGGACGAAGAGGAAGAGGAGGCGGAGGAGGAGGTGGCGGGAGGGTTTGGAGAGGATGCGGGAGAGGACGAGACAGATCTTACGGATCCGACTCATTTCGCCGGCGGCGGAGACCGGCTCACCGGAGAATGGAAGCAGCAACGGCGGCAGGGAAGAGCGGCGACGGCGGTGGTTTTGGGGAAAGAAGGAGGTGGGAGGTGCCGAGGTGGGAGGAAGGAGGAAGAAGGGTTGGGTGGGGTTGGGTCATGGGTTGGGTTGGTTTTAATGAAGTGACGGGTTATAATGACGTGGCGGGTCGGGTTTTATTTTTGTTGGGTTATATCCGGCTGATTAGGCAATTCTGTTGGCACATCAGCACTTAACGGACTTCATTAACGGAGTTGGACGGAGACTAACGGCGAGTGACTAAATGTGTCCAGTTTTAGTAATTGTAGTGACCAAATTTGATATTAACTTTTTCTAGTGACTAAACATGTCCCGATTTTGTAATCTCAGTAACCAAATGTGTCTTTAACCCCTACCATAATACATATAATTAAGGACCGGATAACAGACTCACTCACCGATTCATCGCTCGTGGCCATGATGGACCCATTCAATTCCACCAACAACGTCGATGTTGATTCTGACTCCACAGTAGTGACCGGCCTGCCGCTAGCCCTTTCCGATCTTCGCACATCAGCGACTCAAAAATAATCGCGATGACCATTCTCCTATCAGGATCTCCTCTTACCCTCGAAAATCCTGACTTTTCATCCATCTCCTTCTTCTCCCAAAATGAATGGATGAAGAACCCATTCGACTAGTCTGAGTGGTGGCGAGTTTGGTATCCTGATTTTAGCTAGCTGCTCGCTCCCTCACCGACCTCCCATTAACGCACATCAATCCGAATTAAAATCCTCAAAGTTAATTGTTTTCGTTACACGACGTTACTCCACCTGCTTTCCCGGCCAATTTTTTCCAGCCGTTTTTGCCACTGCTCTGTTTTCCATTGCCGCCCTACTTGTCCAAATTCCCCTCATCGATTTGCAGAGGGAACAAGAACGGTTTTAAGGCCTCGCTCTTCCTCCTCTTCCTGGGCCAATAGCCCGCTCCTTCTCTCCCTGTTGAGAACTCCAACAAGCCGGGCTCGAGCCCTTGTTTTTTTTTCATGACCGGGTTGGGCCTGGCCTCGGCCCACTCTCTTCACAACTCATGCCAGCCCAATCGGTTGTTTGGATTTTGAAGCGATACCTAATTACGTCCATAACTTTCTCATTGTACATTGAAATATGACACCGGTCGCACCGATAGTTCACATTTTTAATATCCATCGATATTACAGTGGAAATTGACGAATTAATCCAAGGGTACAATAGTCATTTTGACCCTTAGAAAGATCGGGGTGTAACAAGTACTAATAATAAAAAAATTCACTTAACCAAACGACTCAACATGTCCGGACTCAATCCACCCTCTCTGTTGAAACATGTAACTCGATGGTCGCAAAATTTCTGTTTTACAACAAAATTGTCATACGGTCCCATTTATGTACGTCAAAGCTCTTCCAATCGCCGATGCCACTGGTCAGATTTCTCAATAAGGTGACTTGAAATTGTCTCTCATGCTCTAGTTCTTGTATGTCTTAACCTTTCATGGCTCTCATTTCTTTCTCTGTATGGTTTGCTGTGTCAGGTCTAGGAAAGGTTTGATGTGTACATTAAGGAACTTTCTAAGCAAATCGATATAGCCACATACAATAAGTATTTGGGTATTTGGGTTATTTTCAATGTTGTCAGAATCTAACCGGAGTATGACCCTGTAACGTGAACGACTCGCACTTTAGTGGTTCAGCCGGTATTGGACCGTTAACAATCGTTAGAGAATTGACACCTTATAAACAATAACATCATAAGTAGAAGTCACTCAAGGTTTTAATTTAACAATTTAATTACTAAAATGCAATTTACTTTCCAGGTACCATTTAGTAATTTTATCTCACATATATATGATAATTACTGGTATACTTCAGGAGTATACCATACTCCACGTGATATGACCGTTAGATATCATTTTTTGAGCTCTATATATAACAACTAAGTAACAAATCCTAATTCCAATCCCCACCCACCCTTGACAACGCCGCTCACCCCTAACCCCTCTCTCTCTCTCTTCAATTTTTCCATCTCTCTATTTCTTCTCTTCCCAAACTCTCTTTGCATCTCTCACCCTTACAACGACAATTACCACACTCTCAGGGGAGAGCTCGCCGATTCGACGGGGACGAAGAGGCTGGGTTGTTCGGCTTTGGGTTGTTCTCGGCTTCTCGCCAAATCAACGAGAGGGGATTGGCGGCAGGCAGTGGCGACGGAGACTTGCGATGGGGACTGGCGAATACGAAGCTGCGACGGGGAACGACGATAGGGCTTCCTCTCTGTTTGTTCAGTCGCACGGAGATGAAGACGAGAATGAAGAATTAGAGTTAAGGTTTATTTTCCAGGCAACCCGTAGTTTTTCCCTTTCCGATTTTTAATTAAACCAACTGACCGAAAGGAAAAATGGGGCGCTCGACTCGAGCGGTTAACCGTCTCGCCCGTTTGCTGACTACTTCTAAAAACCGTTCCGACTAAATAAGTGTTCCAAGTCGATTTTGAGTCCGAATGCTGGTTTTATCGGTTAGACCAACCAGTTCGGTTCGACTTTAATAACACTGGTTATTTCCCATTTTCCCTTATAGATTATGAAATACTATTTGACATGATATATAATTATATATATATGTTGAATAAAATGTGAATTAGATGTCAAAGGGACACGTGTTCGCATCGTACAAGATCCATTTCTTCAGTTCACTAGTAACGGTTGCCGCTGATAATTTCCTTCCAGTCCAGCGGAACTGCAAACCTCTCTTTGCTTCGCCGTCTCCCCGCAGATCAGAAAAGGAGCTCACAGATAGGCGAAGGGGAATCTACTCATTAGAGAAAACCAGAAGGAAGCAGAGATCTAGATCCGTCAAATTCCCCGGCGTTCGGGATTCCCGTCGTCGACGAAATGTCTTGTCTGGCTCTCTCCCTCCAACCGGCCAATGGATCCGACATCCTGATCCAGACCCGGGAATGGTTCCCTCCGGCGCGAGCCCTAGTCGCAACCTCTGCCTTCCGCCAGACTCGCCTGGCCTTCGCCGCCACCAAACACCCCGCCGCACCCAACCACAACCGCTCCTCCTCCGCCGATGACTACGCCCCTTCTGTATCCTCCGATTCCCTCTCCTCCCTCGGCGACGACCCCCTCGCCGCATCGAGCGGCCAGCTCATCGTCGGCGTGGAGAGCCAGTACCGCGTTGTCTACCGCCTCGTCAATGGGATATACGTCCTCGGGATCACGATCGCCGACCACGACAACTCCGTCAACGTCTTCGAGTGCATCCACATCGTAAACCAAGCGGTCAGCGTCATCGTCTCGGCCTGCCGCGGCGTCGACGTCACGCCGGAGAAGCTGAGCCGGAAGTACGCCGAGATCTATATGGCGCTGGATATCGTTCTCCGAGGAGTGAGCAGCATCCGATTGGCGGCTATGCTGGCTTCGATGCACGGGGAGAGCATTGCGAAAATGGTACACTCTGCGCTAGACACGGAAAGCAAGATTCGCGGCGGGGAGAGCTGGCTTGCGGTGGAAGGTCACGCGATTGAACACGAAGGCAGCGTGGAAGCGTTCTCCAATGCAATATTCGAGCTGCCGCCAGAGACGCTCGCTGCGGGAGATGAAGTAGCGGCCAGCCTTGCCCCTGCGGTTGTGGAGCAATTGGAGAAGAAGGAAGAGAAAGAGGAAGAGAAGGATGAACCTAAAGATCCTTTTGCCGCCAGCGAGGCTGTAAACAAACAGGAGGATCTTGCTGGTGAGTTCAAGAAGGATAAGAGCCAGGGTAGCGATTTGACCCTTGCTCTAGCTGGGCTGGAGGTTACGACATTGCCGCCTGCTGAAGCTACTCAAGCTACTCGTATTGCTGTGGAGGGGTTCGAAGGGGATTATGGTGGGATTGAGTTCAGCAATGAGCAGACTTCTCTGGGAGAGACGTTTGAAGGGTTTAGTGAGGCTTGGGGTGGTGGATTAGATGCCTCAGAGTTTGTAGGCACCAAGAAAATTCCAAAGCAGCAAGGTCTTGGTGGATTGGAATTGCTTCAAACAGGTGCTGATCCTGCGGTGGCAGCAAAGGCCGCTGCAGCTGGGGGTGGAGATACTCCTCTTGAGAATCTCTTGGTCCAGAAAACTGAAATGAAGGGACCTGAAATGTACATTGTTGAAGAAATTAGTGCTGAGTTTAGAGAATCGCTGCTTGCGAGAGTTGGGTTGATGGGTGTAGTTTATTTGAAAACGTTGCCAACCAAACAGTCTGGCGATAAAGAAACCGAGTTTTCATTCCGAGTTGATAACACAAAACCAGTCAAGCGGTTTGTTATGCACAGTTCAAAGGTCAGTAGCCTTGGTAATGGAATGTTTCATGTTAGGACTGCTGCTTCAGATGAACCTATCCCGATATTGAAGTATAGTTTGTTCCCTAAGTCTACTCCATTGCCATTGAGGGTCCGTCTAGTTCAACGTCATAGTGGGACCCTTTTCTCTGTCATGATCCAGTACGTCTCGAATCCAGATTTGCCTGTACCATTGAAGGATGTGACCTTTGTTTTGAAGTTGCCTGTTGATCCATCTTTGTTGAAGGTTTCACCCAAAGCAGCATTGAATAGGTCTCAGAAAGAATTGAAATGGGTTGTGCCAGAGATTGCACTCAAAGGTGCTCCTGGTAAATTGAGGGTGAGGATGCCTGTTGACTCGAGTGAAGGAGAAGGCGACGAAGAGATAGAGGCAGTTTGTTATGTTAAGTTCTCCATGGAAGGAACTACCTCGTTATCTGAGATTTCTTTGCGGCCTGCCTCGGAGGGGAATACAGACTTCTATGAGGTTAATCACAGGTACCAGAGTGGAGTTTATATGTGCAATTGACCATTGATGAGATAACCTTTTCTTTTTCTGGGATATTATTGGGTCTTGTTTCTCCTTATTGAGGTTTTTGGTTCCGTTTCATTGTAGCTTATTTCCATGTCAAGCTTGTAACCTAGACTGCGGTTGCTGTGAAAATATTTGTGGTGTTGTGTTGTTGGTTAATATTTTTGTAATGGATAGTTCAACTTTTACTTACTATATGTCTATACCTCTTTGCTTTGAAGTTCATGTTCATAAAATCTTTGGATTTTGGTGATTTTTTTTCTTTTTCATTTTCTGCTCGAGTAAATTATTTGCTTGCATGTGGGGCAAGAACAAAGAGAACATGGAATAAAGGAAGAATTAGAGAGATGTACTCGCTGCAAACTGCTGAGTTGACTGTTAGAAAGAAACTAAACATCATTCCAACTATTACTGATATTGCTCCTAGCTAAGGCATTGCAATTATGTCTTTAAGAAGAGAAAGAGAGAGGTTTGAATCATGAATTTCGGAACCAGATCTGAACAATATAGTTGCCTTACCCATGCTTCTCTTTATTTCCTCAAAAGATGAGTTCTGGCGTCATAACTTCGTTCTAACGATAGTATAACGCGTTGTAGTAAGTGACATGGGATGTTATCCGTTGCTGTAGGAGGAATACTTGACTATCTATGTTAGGAAGAAGGATCCAACAAGTGCTTTCTTGATTTTTGTTGTAGCTGGTTTAGGTGAAAGAACACGTTACAGATGACATTGATTCGTTGAGAACGTATTGGCTCAACATTGCATGGGATTAGACACATGCTGATGCTTTAAACTTCGTCCTCTATTTGGACTGACAGTGCTGAGCATGTCTGTTCTTGAATGTTTTCGTTGCACAATCATCCTTGGTGCTAAGTGTTTGGCTTTTAGAAATTTTTGCTTTGCGGTGGGGAAGGGGTACTGTGTCCCAAACTTGTGCAGTGCAAAGTTTGCTCTTGAACTTACACTGAAAGTTCGCGCATTGCTAGCATGTCATTGTGAATATTATATTACACGAGCAGTGTGTTTTGCATGTATGCTAGTTGGTAACAGGTCTACCTGGTGAAGAGAATTGCCAGCTGTGCATGTTTGTTATCTAATGGTTAATGGAATTCCGATGGTGGTGTTCAAAACTGTTGCTTTGTTTATTGTGTATGATCTCCTGAAGATTCACTAGCAAAAATGACTGAGAAGCAATCCAAAAGCTATGCAGGTTTGGCCGGCTTAAGACTGCTGTTATATTGTCTCACGGGGTCTGGTAGTATAAATATTTGTCAAGTTCGTGAATATTAAGTTTTGACGGTAATTCAGTTCTGAATTGCCTAAAAAATTAGGACATAAAGTTTCTGATGTTGGCAACTTATCATGATCCGAGGAGGCAGCATGGTTAGTGAATTTCCAAATTAACTTGTTTGGTTTTTCCATTCTGTTGTATATAATTGCTTATTTAGCGTTATTGTCTTGTTTATTTAATTTATGTTTCAGCCAGGAGCAGAACATTCATCTATCTGGAACGCCATTGTGTCTTGATTGCTGGTAATCATTGATAGATATTCCTCACAACTATGCAGTTTTCCCTATTGAGAGTGTTAGCTGTCTATCTGCAAGCTCTGATCTGCTGCCATTTAATGAGTTAATGCTCCTGTGCTTGGAGACATAATCTTTGTGTACTGTATGCTGTTAATCTAGTACCGACTGCATTGAATAAGAGCTTAGTCTATACAATTTGATCTTAATTATTCTTTGTTGCATGATATTGCTTTTGAATCAAACAGACTATCTGTACTCCCATGAAGGGAGTGACAGGAGAAGTCATATTGCAACATTACAGTTGGAGACAGAGCACAATAAGGTCAATAAGTAAATCATTTGTTGAGGGGTAGGCAAGTCAATCTGATGCAGTGGACAAGTGTCCAAATCATGGTGTCTTATCTTGTGTTAGCATCTTCTGCAAACCGCAGGGGTCAATGCATGAGCCTTAATCTCAGCAGTTCAGAGAAGATTCATACACTAGAAGATAATATGTGACTTTTTTAACACTTGTCCAGTATGTCATTTTACTTGGCCGCCCTCCTCCCGAAGCACCCTGGGGTTACTTGTTAGGCTCCTCGACCCCTCTGCCTCCAGCCACAATGTTGTAATATACATCATCCATGTCTCTCTCTCTCTCTCTCTTGAGTACAAATTTAAGTTTCTCTCTGTCTCGATGAGTACTAATCATATGTTTGGTTCTATTGATAGTGCCACGGATCGAAGGAGGAATGAGTTAGAATTGTGTCAACTGAGCTCTTGGCTGATAGGGACAGCTAGAGCATTAATAAACATATTCAGAAAAAGGTACACCTCCTACTTTATGAATGACCAAGTTTTGCTGTTCTGCAATAAGTTCTTATATTTTGATGTTGGAACTATTTTTAGGAACGTGATATTCATGTCTTAGTCTCCCCCATAACTAAAAGAAGAAATGCAGAAGGGCCACAAAGATGCCGTGTTTTCATCTTTTGCAGTTAATATCCTGAAATCTTCCTTAACGTATGCTACTACTCTGTAGCATGGAAATGGTTGACAGAAAGATCAGCAACTTTGTTCATGCATTACACATCATCTTCCATTATGATTATTATTCTCCCCTCGAGTGGTCTTCTAAGTGGCTTCCTCTGGTCTTAAAAACTCAACAGTTCCTAGATTTTGACATCTCGCGAGTGTGGTTTGTCTGCTCTCTTGCTTTTTTTCTGACCCTTAGCAGCTAGACTATAGTTGGTATTACTGTAGCCCATGCCCCTTAATTCGTTGTATCCAATGATCACTCTTATTATGGTCCTTTTGCACGATTGTCTGCTAGTTATAGAAAAGGAACAAAAGAAAGGGCGGTTTCCCATCTCCTACATGTGTACCTTACGACACACTCTGTGCTGCAAGAGCATAGCCACTAAATCTGTTATCAAATTTTCTCTGTTTCAGATTCTTTTGAGATCCTGGAACATGGTAGATCCCCAGAAGAAAAGGGTGAAGTACTACAACCTTGGAACCCTCATTTCCTCGAGGGGCAAAATCGAGCTTTAATGATATCATTCACAGGTTTGTACCACTTTAATCTTCCCATTTGATCCATGAGAATGAAACAACTTGTGCTTTATTTTGTTGACTCGCTCGATCCTTGGTCGTTCATCGTCACTCATTTATGCATGTACTTGGATTGATTGCTTCTCAGGTACTCATCTGAATTCCGCGTTGCTGGGAAAAATGGTTCTCAGTTATGGCAGTGAGATGAACAGAGGTCTCGAGTGACGCAACCTGACGCCATAATCTAGAAATCAGACTCCTGTAAGTGAAGTACTACATGGTCAAACCCTAATCATTGATTCTCTTTCTCATGCAAATTCGTTGTTTAATTTGAAGAAGAAACAAAACAAGCTCAGGCTCCATGATAACAGCAATAGTAACAACGACAAAACTTAGTTATCAAATAGTAGCTGGTGATAATGCTATGTGCTATTTGTTAGAATCCAATAGGATGGTTGCTCTTTTATTGTTTTTCTTTCTGGTTAGGGATATGGAAATTGGTGTTATAAGATGATTGGAAAACAGGGGGTACCTCTTTTTTTCTTTTCTTTCTTCCCTAACATGATTTAGGAATGGGCCAAATCTCCAAACAGTGAAAGCCTCGTGTAGTGATAAATGGGATAGTGGCCACTTTCATGAAAAGAGAAAAGAAAAAGTAGGTTAGCGACATTTATTAAGCTCCTCTTAGCACTGCCGTTTAATTTGTTTCTAGTCCTCGAGTGAAATTTTTTACCCGAATTCGGGTAACTAATGGGGCTCAACCCATGTTCTTAGTGAGTAGACTCTTGATGATTGGTATGTCAGGTATGCCAAAGATGTATCTTTTGCTCTCAGATACATTGCAAAGAGTACAGTAGAGATGCGAGTATGAGAGTTGATTTCTGGGGTAGAACGGGAATCTGTGGTATACATGTCATGTGGGTCGCCCAAGATGTGCGTATTAAGCATAGTTTGATCCCTTACTTACTAGCATATTTGGATGATGGGTTTTGCTAAACATCGTAATGCGCGGGACTATATTTGTTAAAATGTCAAAGTACAGGGACTAGGACTACTATCAATCCAAAAAGTTAGGGGGGGGAACTTTTGAAAGGGGGAATTGAATGGAGAGTAGTTAGCTGGTACAGTTTGTTGTCCCTCACACAAATGTTGAAGGTGCTAAAGGAAAGAGACCCCATTGACAGCTTTTATTTTGTCACTTCGTAGTCACAATATGTATCTGTCCTAGGTACATTTTTAAAAAGTATATCATGGGAAAGAAAAACGAAAACAAGTTGTAACGTTTCTCTTTCGTTTTAGTACGACATGTCGTTTTCTTTTCCCATGGGCACTTCCTCTTTTTGTTTCTTTAATAGGCATAAATAATATCATTTTGATACACAGAAAAAATTGGACATGCATAAGTTCAATTTATCCCAATTTATCCCACTTTATACTAGGAAGACGCAAAAGATGTAATGGATAAAGAATTACGATGATATAATCAATTTTGGCCCGTGATTTCAGAAAATAACATCTTGGCCTCAATTATGCACCATATATACTCAATTTGCCCGACTCGTGAATTTTCGTCAAATTAGGCGGTCAACATTATTGACGTTAGTGAATCAACATGTTATGCTGACGTGGATGCCGTGTGAAAATAAATATTAAATAATTTAATAAAAATAAACTGAAATTAAAAAATGCCTCTCTCCTCAGTCGGCCCACACTTCCTCCTCTCCTTCGAACCCAGTTCCCCTTCCTTTCTTCCTCCGAACCCAGGTTATCGCCATGGCAATAGCAGCTCCTTCGCTGCCTCTACCCGACCCAACTCGATTGAATCGGTCCTCGACGCCGTTGCCATCCACCTCCATGATCTCACTACCGCTGCCGACACTAACCTCTTCATATCGTCCTTCTCCATCAACGCTTCCGAAATTTCATTCACAGTATTCGCCCTCATCTCCTACATAGCATCATTCCTCTTCCCGTAAAAAACAACAAGCTCAGTCTCTCTCTACAATGACATGGCGTGTTGATTAACGGTCAAGGGTGTTGACCGTCCAAATTGACGGTCAAACCATGTGTCGTGCCAATTGAGTCTATATGTTATATAGTTGAGATTATGATGTTAATTTCTGAAACCACGGGTCAAAATTGATTATATGGTCAAGGTTTGGACCAAAATAAGGTATTAACCCTAAAGAATAAGGTCGGTTGAAGATGGGGCAAGGTCCGTGTGAGAACCTCGCTTCTAGGGATTCTTGATACTGATCTTCGGCACTCGTGATAATTAGGGATTTAGGGTTTGAGAGAAAGAATTAGGGATTTAGATGGGAAATAATAGAATTGGGAATCGGCCGAAGCCTTGGACTAAGATGAGTCGAGAAATTAGGAGTTGGAAGGAGAGATTAGGGTTTAGGAGACTTTGCTTAATATTCTTCTTCATTGATTGATCATGACGTAAACCCAAAGTACATATATATAGGAAATAAACCCAAAACTCTAATAAACTAATCCTAACCTAATTGGCCTAGGTTAGCCGCCAAACCTCCAACATTATTAATTATTATTATTATTTATACTAATTATATGTCTAACATTCCACCATCCTTCGAAGCGACCTTGTCCTCAAGGTTGCAGTCAACTTTCGTCTTCTTGATCTTGATCTTCCACTTTCTTCGCTTCCAATTACGCTCAACTCCACAAACTAATCTTTCTCGAGCATCGCTCTCGATTGGGTCGGATTCTTTTAGCAACCCACCTGCCAAACTATTAAATTCATCTCCCTTCTTCAAAATATAGCACATGGGCGGCCCAACTAGCTTTCTCTTTGTTCAGCCCGAACCCAAGTACTTGGTCAGGCCAATTTCCTCCTGACTTGAGCCTGCACGCTAGGTCTTCCTCGGTCCGCTCCAATTGATTAAGCCCAGTATAGCCAATGAGTTTCTCCCGAACAGGTCTGCCCTCTTTGAGCCTAGACTTCCCTCCTTGAGTGGGCCTGCCCAATCCCAGCATCTCTGGCCCATCTGGTTCGGCGACCCAATTGGATCTGCCCAAGGTGACGGCCGCAACAGTGATGTTTGGCCCAAGACTGGTGACCTAGGGCTTGTGTGGTGGCAGACCCCGTCGGCCCCTTGCTTCGTCGCTTCCTTCCCCAATAGCACACAGGCCGCCCGACGACGGAGGGACTCGGCCACTTCCAGCCTTGCGACAATTGACGGTGCCGTTACCCAATGGCTTCACTTCGAGCCTTGGCTTCACGTTTGTCATCTTCAACTCCCCCCCGTACTCCAATGGCGGCTCGAGCTCTACCTTCTTCTCCGCCATCTTCTCCAACAACTTCTTCTTCTCCGCCGACTGCGTTTCGTCGTCGGTAGTCTCTTTTCCCGACGGTGACCCGCCAAGCTGAGGACACGGCGACCAGATCAGATCCGCCGTCGACTTCAACTCTGTCTCTGGCGGCGAGACCCTCCCGGAGGTGGAAGGCAGGCGCGACCTGGCGCTCTTTGTTTCCGCGCCCAGGACATTGTCCCCTCCGTTCTTCGACTCCTTTCCTGGCGACTCCACCGCCAGGGGCTCCTTGACTTTCGTCTTCGTCTCGACTGGTAGGAGAACAGCTGGCGATGATGGTGATGTCACATGAAAGGCAACTGCGGCTGCCTTCTCGGCCACCGTTGTTCGTTCGTTCGATGCGGCGGCTGCAGCCTTGAGTGGAGCAGTCCGCGCGATGTTCGCAGACAGCGGCAAGGACGAGGTAACCTCGTTCTTCCACACCGCTTCCAGCTTCGACTTCAACATCTTTGTGAGTTCGCTGATCAAGAGCTCTTCGAGTCTCGACATGGTTCTGGTACGAGTGCCTGCAACCAGGCTCTGATACCACTGTGAGAACCTCGCTTCTAGGGATTCTCGATACTGATCTTCGACACTCGTGATAATTAGGGATTTAGGGTTTGAGAGAAAGAATTAGGGATTTAGATGGGAAAGAATAGAATTGGGAATCGGCCGAAACCTTGGACTAAGATGAGACGAGAAAATAGGAGTTGGAAGGAGAGATTAGGGTTTAGGAGACTTTGCTTAATATTCTTCTTCATTGATTGATCATGACGTAAACCCAAAGTACATATATATAGGAAATAAACCCAAAACTCTAATAAACTAATCCTAACCTAATTGGCCTAGGTTAGCCGCCAAACCTCCAACATTATTAATTATTATTATTATTTATACTAATTATATGTCTAACAGTCCGGTGTGAGAAAGATCATCGTTATGCTAAATGTTTGCATAAGGTGAATATAACACTGATTCAATGCAGTTGATCGCAAACATGTTAATCGAAGTTGTTCGTATAGATTGGAGAGCAATAGATGTTCACATTGATTGAAACTTTTCCTGTATCGTTTCAATTTTACCGAAGAGTTTGGATGTGGTAGTCGGCAAGTTTATTTTCACTTAACTAAGGGGTCGTTTGGAAGTTGCGATAGTTTTGTTGAGATTGTCATTATGCATGTATTGTTTACAATGCATCGTTTTTTTTGTTTTTTTAGCAGAAACAATACATGGATTGTTTCTGTGATGTGACAGAAACTATCATTCATTTTGAGTGATTGTTATATCTCAACTTTTAGTTGTGATTGTTGAGATAGTTGAGTTGAGATTGTTTTGTCTCAGCTTTTAGCTGATGCGACATACACAATCACACATACCAAACGTTGTATTCTACAATGCATCAAATTCGACAATACATGTTTAATATTATACATGCATTCTCAACAATACATGTATAATATTATACATGCATTCTCAACAATACATAAGTGTCTGGAAAATGGAAGGGGTACACAGTGTTGGTCCACACTCTATTCATTTAATAGGGACTAAAGTTCACCTACTCGGATGGCTCTATCTCCCTTCCCTTTCTTTTTTGTTTAGTTAAAATTAATCGTTTTCCAATTAGGTTCTTTACCTGAAGCTGCTAACTAATTGGTGATGCGATAGAAGGAAGAAAGAAAAGCAGAAGATAAGGGTAAGGGCTAACCCTTTGTCATATTAAATGACACTAATACTATTGAATAAGACATAATTAGCACCCAAGAAAAGAAAACTTGTAAAGCTCCTCTTCTTGACCAGTTCCTTCATGCATTGCAATCTCTAACCTCGTGGGTAAGAGATTCCACTAATTCTTCTGAAAACTGAGTCCACAATATTGACACAAGTTTTGCTGAGTGATATTGGTCTCATTATGCTGACTATGATGGGAATGGGATGGGGCTGACAGATTCCTCAGTATCTGTATTCGTGTATGTCCACCGCGCGGCTTATGTGTCTTAATTGTACATGGGCACCGGGACGTGCCGCCCACGGACTAGCACGGCACGACACGGTTAGAGCACGGCACGAGCACGGGCACGAAATAAATGGGCCA